AGAGAGAGAGAGAGAGAGAGAGAGAGAGAGAGAGAGAGAGAATAACTCCTATCTATTTTGAGATTTTCATTAGACATAAGACCCCATAATTTTGACCAGGGCAGAACCTGTAAACAGAAAAGCACAGCAAGAAAGTCACGAGACTGTAGTACCCGTATTACTAGCAACTTATTGTTTTCATTAGTACATTCTTCTCTTAATGCATGAATTGTAGAAATTTAAGCTAAAAATCTGTTTCCCCAAGATGACTTTTCATGAGAATTAAAGCTGTCTTCTTCATTCCATAACTCAACTTGTAAAATACGGGGCTCTGGATGAAAAGTCAGCCTAGAAAGTAAAAAGTTAAAAAACAGCAGTGTGATATACCTACCATTGATACTAATTGGATGAGTAGCAGCAAGAGTTTGTGCTGCTCGCAGGTGTTTTCGATTTAATTCCAAACATTCCAAAACCCACTTTTTCTTCCGATAAAGTTCATTTAAATCCATGCCTAAATATTGAGTTTTTAAAAAATTAAAAAAGAAAAAATATTATCTAAATGTGAAAAGTAACTTAGGAAAAGTGTGTGTGTGTGTACAGTGAGAAGTTTCAGTGTTCATATTCATCCTGGGATCAATATTCTTTGAAAGGAGGCAGAGGAGGCTTATGACAATTTGTACTATTTGCACATTCTTAAAAATGTGTGAGTTGAGCATAAGGCAGAGGTTCACAACACTAACATTCCAAGAGACTTTGCTCCCCGATTACGTTTCCAAAGAGACCATCACTGATACAGGTTGGTCCAGAAAGGTTTTCAGCCATTTGTGTTTCTCTTTCTATCCCAATCCAAAACCTGCTTTTGCTTCACTTAAGTGGGGAGATATGAGAGCTAAGTCCAGATTCCCAAATAACTCTTTTTCCAGAAGAGATACCCATTGAAAGACATCTACTTAAGAGAACAGGTATGTGCGCTGTACAGTACATGGTTGATATGTTTTACTTTTACATCATTGTTATCTTACTTTTATAAAATAAAAGAACTGTTGTTTAAAAGCAGGGTTGTTCATCTCTTTGCCAGAGCCATCAAGACAATCTCCAGCAGTTCATCTACTTCCATTAACACTGCCCTGCGTGAATCCCAGTCTTATGACCAAGAATCACAGGGTTCTAAGAATTTCAGGTGACATCCTGACAAACCCCTGAATGTAGGAGAATATAGTTTAGGAAGAAAGCTAAGAAAATGTTCTTCCATAAACAGCAAACCAACATGGTTATCTGAATGATGGGTTAGGAATCTGACAGTACTTCAGACTCATCACCATCTTTACAATTAAAATCAAAATTATTCAGGGAATTTTGCTGAGGAACTTATTTATTCTGTACTTACTTATAGGTCTGAATTTTCCACCTGCCTCTGAAATAGAAAGTTTCATTTCTTGTACATCTTGTACAACTGCTTTCAGGTCTTCTGTCAAAATCCTCCTTTGCTCATTTAATTCCTTCATTTTTTTCTCTACGAAACAAATTGAAGCATTTTATAGAACTATTAAAATATATGTATTAAGCATGATAGAATTATCTTTCATATCAAATAATAGAATTATAGTTTAAAAACTAATGGAATATACCTAAACCTCAAAGGAAGATCTGCCTTTCTAAAGTCACGACATAAATGATTTTAATAAACTGAATCCATTAACACTGCATTGCTATTATAAATATTTGCCCCAGAAGACTTTGTACTCTAAACATTTGGAAAGACTTCTGCACCAACCTGTATAATGGGTTACATTGCAAATATTTATCCAAAAGGAGATTTTCATCTTCCACATTTCTTTCATCAATTGCTACATTCTCCTAATCTACATTTTATAATACATATTATATAATGCAATTCATACATATAATTCATTTATACAAAATAAATACAAATACAATACAATATATATAATATATTTTAACATATCATGTGTTTCAAAACGCATTATTATACAAAGTTTGAATCACTCCAATACTGGCAAGACAGTCTAATGAAAATACTTGTGCATGCATACAATTGCAGTGAAAATCAGACATACTTCAGTCACACTGAAATCAAGTTGGGAAAGACTTCTCTAGAATATATGACAATTTCATGAGCTGCTGAGATCAATCTCACTTCAATCTCCCTTGATTTATAGTATGGATTAAGCATGATGAGAGATGGTTACAGTACAGGCAGATTTTGGCCTACAGTGGATTCAGCTGACTGTCATCAAAGTATATATTTTAATAGCTATTTCACCCACATCAATTTTCCTGAATTTGTAAGCTGCCAATTTAGACTGACGAGCCCAACTAGGATGCTTAACATGATCTTAAGTTTACACATCAATTAAATGGAAGGATCATATTGCAAGAGCTTGTGTTGAGGACCATAAGTGAAACAAGCAAAAGATATCACACATACACCTACCACTGATACTGCCTGGTTGTGTAGCTTCAAGAGCATGAGCATCGTCTAGCAATTTCACATTAGATTCCAAACTTTCCAATAAAAATTGCTTCCACAGAGATAATTCATGTAAGCCTTTTCCTATAAACAACAATGGTTTAGAATGATCTCTTTTTAAGTTTCAAATGGTCCTATTACTGAGCCTTATAAAATGAAGGAAGATATTCAAAACTGGTTCTTAAATTAAAAGAAAAACATTTTCTTTACAGCTGTTAAAGAGAGGAAACTGAAATTTTGCAGAATGCAGTGACTTTCAAGGAAGACCTAAATCTTTAGCAATATCACAGAAGTTGACAGTATTACTTATTTACATCAGATAATATCCAATGCCAATCCTAAATAGAGAAGACCCGCTGAAAAGAATGGAGCTTAAATTTGTTTTGATTAACTTATGTCACATTCATTTCAGTGGGTCTACTCTGTGTAGGATGGATATTGGCTATTATTCAGTATTTCTACACCAATTGTGTAAAGTATCTAAAGGGGCAGATACAATGGAATACAACAATAAATAATACAATTTCAAATCTAATAGATCATGTTAAATACAATGTAAACAAGCAGAAGGAATGCAGTGATCAAAAGCTTTATCCTTCTACCACCACAAATCTACTATTTCTGAATAGTGCTTTTTAGCAACAAAAGGAGAAAAGAGAAGATGCTAAGCAAGCTTCTCTGTAGAGAAAATTCAAAATCCAGAAAAGTATTACCAAGACTAAAAACACTTGCTTGAGCAACCAGCTACTTGGAGGGAAATTATTGACTCCTTGAAAATGTGGAGGGTACTAAGAACTGCTGGTTCAATCCTAGTAATCAAGGATATTGAATCCTAGTAATATTCAATCCTAGTAATCCTAGTAATATTGCTATGAAGAAGACAGTGTCTCAATCTCCTTTCAATGCACTTTTGTTGGCACTTTCCCCCTCTTAAAGGTGCTTGTCAGTTGACAGGTAGGCATGTGATCCCTTTGTGCATGAATTAGCCTAAATATTATTTATTTATTTAAAACATTAATATGCCATCCCTTAAGCATGGCATCTCAGGACGGCTTACAATACAGTCTGGTTTTGTCTTTCCCTTGACAGTTAAAACTGACAAGGAAGTTGACATGGTTAAACTACACATATTAGATCATCATACGGACATACTTGTGAAAGACCAACAAAAATAATAAAAATAGCAATAAAAAAGAAGTACAGACCAGTTACACATTTTCGGGCCTGATAAAAAGTTGAAGAATTAATGGCAGTCCTTTTTTGTCTTTGGCAAAAGGGCAATCACTGGTAAGATTGCAAAAGAAAGCAGCAGAGGGGGTTGCTGCTTGTTGTCATTTCTAACAACCTATGACACGATCTGTGTCATGATGGCTGGATTCAAATGACATGACAGCCCACAGTGGACAAGATCAAACCTAACACAAGCCATGTGTTCTCAAGGTAATATGTTCTTGAAAACAGACCACCTCCAAGAAACCATGGGTTCAGATGCCCCAATAACCCACCATGACTTGCTAGTCCTAGTGGTTTGTCATGTTTTGCAAACCAGACTGCTGTGTCAGATCTCTTATAGTGATAACCCATCTTCTCTCACCAGTACAGCAGTGAAATTTTTGTCTTTGTCTACAGACATTCTATTTCTGGAGCTAAGAGGAATGTAAGTTGCCAGCTGAAATTTATGTCCAACCTTTTGAATTGCTATACTTACATACAGCACACTGAAAAAATATACATATTTAACAGCCTATATTTAAAATACCATTATTTTCCACTCACCATCAGAACTTCTAGTCAGAGTTCCTGGTGAAGCACGATGTTGTATTTCTTGCATATCGTGCACAGTTGCCTCCAGCTCTGTAGTCAAATGTCTTCTTTGCTCATCTAGCTCCTGTAACTTACGCTCTACAAAATAATTTCAAGCCTAGTCATATCAACATATTAATATACACTGAAATAAGTAAAATAAGAAGTAAAATTAGAATACAATAACTTAAATCCAGATTCATTCATAACTTGTAGACCCACTGAAATCAGTGGGACTTAAGTTACTCTGACCAAGAGGCTTTTCGCATGCAAGATCAGCAAATCATGGGTTATGTAACACAAAATTTCCTACAGTGCATCCCAGATGCACTCTATAGCTTTTTTGAATGATTGGTTAATTTTATTAATTGTGGTCACTTGACATAGGCAGTCTTTTGACAGTCCTTAAGTAAGATTATTTAGATGTATATGCACCATTTATTTTTTGATATTGTAACAAACCTTACTATTGTTTCCTGCATTTCCCATTTTGAGAATCTGACTGCTGATACTATTATTAATACTTGATTGGTCTGGAAAAATCTACTGTTTCTGAATCTAAGTTGCATATTGTATTTTAACAATTGAAATAATGTAAGTTTGTTTTAATGATAATGTCTATGTTGTAATGAATCTGAAATGTAATTATAAATATGTCAGCATTGTTGAAATGAACTGTAGAACTGATTTTCTATACCAGTTGATATATGGTGTTTTGAAATAAATTGATAGTAGACTGTTACTGTAACAACTCTTTGATATATATGGACATTCTTGTGCTGTTAACTGTTTTGGACACATCTGTATGGAAGGGCAGTACAGACATTAAACAATAAGAATAGCAGAAGTAATACTAGTAATGCAGATTATTAATCTTCTACATGCCAATTGAACATTCCAGTACAGATAACAAATGCAGCCCTTGAAGAAGAATTATACACTCCTTTGAAATGAAAGACTCTAGTTCTTATATTTAAAGTTGTAACTGATAGCATGAAAAATCACTGGATTCATACCACTGATACTGCCTGGCTGGGCAGCTGCAAGAGCTTCAGCTTCTTGTAGTTCTTTCTTCTTTGATTCCAAACTTTCAAGCAACATTTGTTTCTTCTCAGAGAGTTCATATAATTCTCTTTCTGTAAGCAGATATTTTTGGAATGATTTATTGAAAAATGGTTTCAAGTGTTCTGATTGCAAATATATATGCTTTATGGAATGACAGAAAAAACATTTCAAGTGTCCTTGCAGCTCACAGACTCTCATAACGACACCAGCACATCTAACCTTTCAGTCACAAGAAAAGGGCATGAAACATAGACTATATCTCTAATAGCAAGGATCTTGTAGAGCAATGGGGACTGTTTTTGTGGAATGGCACATTCATCAGCAGACAGACTCTTGTGTCCATCTGCATTCTTTGTGCACCCTGGCTCCAGGGAGGGGAAAATCTGGAACTTGGAATGCATCTGGCAGTGCCCACAAGAAGCTACACATTAAAATAAAAATTTAAGCTCCTTTGAAATCCAATTGCAGTGAAGAGGAAAAGTAGAAGAAAGCATGAACATGTTACAATGGATTATTTCATAGAAATGACTAACTCTTCATCTTTCATTATAACTTTTCAGCTAAGCAGTAAAATGCTTTAAATTAGATAAGCAGAAAAATATGGGAGAAATTGGTTCTTCAATTCTATCTAGATTCAAAGTTATGAAACTGGTGTCCCTCAGGGATACAGTGAATAACCAAGGAGGCTGAAGTGCCTCTCAGGGATACTCTGTCAGTCCTCTTATACTGATAACCGGTATTATATGATCAGTACAGGAGCGACACTGCTCTAATTGTTATTTGTTCTACGGATAATCTGCTTCAAGAGCTAAGAACATACAAGCCATGCTGGATCAGACCAAGGGTCCATCTGCTCTAGCATTCAGTTCATGCAGTGCCCAACCAACTGCCCTGGGAAGCCCACAAGCAGAACATGAGTGCAACAGTCTACAATTAAAATATTATTTATTTGTTACTCACCACCAGCTCTTCCAGTCAGAGTTCTTGGTGAAGCACGATCTAGTATGTTTTGTATATTATGCACAGTTGCCTCCAACTCTGTAGTTAAATGTCTTCTTTGCTCATCTAGCTCCTGTAACTTATGTTCTACAAAATAATTTCAGCCCTAGTCATATCAAAATAATAACTACATTAAATTAAAACATGCAACTACTTTAAATAGATTGAATCCAGGGAGCATGACAAATAATTATATTCATACCACTAATAATGCCTGGGTGAGTCACTGCAAGAATTTCAGCTTCCTGTAGTTCTTTCTTCTTGGATTCCAAACTTTCAAGCAATATTTGTTTCTTCGCAGATAGTTCATATAATTCTTTTTCTGTAAGCAAATTTGTTTTGAGTGATCAATTGAAAAATAACCTCAATGGTTCTCATTATGAACATATATTTTTGGGTATGATGGATCTAAAATCATATTAAATATTCTCTTTGCTTGCACAATCACAAAACAAAGCTGGCCCATCTGCCTTTTCTCTCTTGAGGGAAGAGTTTGGAATTTGGACTATAACTTTCATTGTTAGGACCTTCGTGACTCTGCAGATCTACAGGGGCTGTTATTGTGCATTGGCACCTTCATCAGCAGGTAGACCCTTGAGCCCATTTGCCTCCTTCAAGTTACCTGCCTCTGGGGGGAAAAACCCTGGAATGCATCATTAATGGCCAGGAGCCAGAAGAGTATACACACTAACATGATATAATTTCAAGCTGCTTTGGAATCCAATCACAGAAAAGTGGAAGAGGAGGAAGATATTTATTAAAAATTGATTATTTCATTGAAAAGACAAACTCTGAATCTATCATGACAGATGTCACAGAGTACAGGAGTTAAATGAAGTACTTCTGGCAATGTAATTCAGAAATATCAAGGGGATTAATAGAACATTTCCACACAAAACCATTTCTCAGGAATTGCCACCCTTTGTACAATCACTTTTTATGGAACATCCAGAGTACAATGTTTCTAATTCATAGACTTTCAATGTTTTTTGTATTCCCCTACCATGTTTTGTTCATCCTGATGTGTGGCAAGAAAAATAACATTTTGTAATTAAACATTACTGCAGCTCCAGGCTGCCCAAAGCACCAACATTTTTCTGTGCATCTGAACCTTTACATGAAGCAACTCTTATCTGCACATTCTATTGACCCTAGCAGGTAGACCAATGAATAATTGAGACCCAGTGTGGTGTAGTGGTTAAGAGCGTGGGACTGGGACTCAGACGATCTGGGTTCTAGTCCCCACTCAGCCATGGAGCCAACTGGGTGACTTTGGGCCAGTCACAGACTCTCAGCCCAACCTACCTCACAAGGTTGTTGTTGTGGGGATAAGATGGAGGAGGAGAATGATGTAAGCTGCCTTGAGCCCTTTGTAGGAAAAAGTCAGGATATAAATAAATAAATAAATAAATAAATTCCCTGGAATAGCACCTGTGCAAGTTGGAATTAAGATTGCCAGGAGAAATATCAACAAACTCAGATATGCAGATGATACCATTCTAATGGCAGAAAGTGAAGAGAAACTAAAGAGCCTCGTGATGCAGGTGAAGGAGGAGAGCGCAAAAGTTGGCTTGAAACTCAACATCAAGAAAACTAAGATCATGGCATCCAGCCCTATCACTTCCTGGCAAATAGATGGGGAAGAAATGGAGGTAGTGACAGACTTTATTTTCCTGGGCTCCAAGATCACTGCAGACGGGGACTGCAGCCAAGAAATCAAAAGACGCTTGCTCCTGGGGAGGAAGACTATGGCATATCTAGACAGCATACTAAAAAGCAGAGACATCACCCTGCCAACAAAAGTGTGTATAGTCAAGGCTACGGTTTTCCCATTGAGAAGTATTTGAACTGTAGGTTTAGGTTTAGTCAGCTCGATATGCCACTTTAATTGGGTTTGCAACTACTGAAATACTGTGCATATTTAAAAACTTATCTGTAAATATTGATAATTTTCTGCACACCACTGGATCTTCTAATCAGAACTCTTTGTGAAGCATCATGTTGTATTTCTTCAATATCCTGTATAGTTGCCTCCAAATCTATAATCAATTGTCTTCTCTGCTCATCTAGCACCTGCAGTTTATGCACTATAAAATAATTTCAAGCCAATTCATGTCAAAATATTAGTATAAATTGAAATGCCAACATGAAATTGTGCAATTAGTAGAAAATGAATAGGGTCCAGTTTTAGTCATAATTAGGCTCCACTGAAATTAATGGGACTCAATTTTGTAATGAGTGAAGTACCATTGATTTAAATGAGTCTGCTATGACTAGATCAATATCTAACCCACATTTTTTCATACTAATGGTTAGCTCTAGATACCACCCTCTAAACCACTTCGTATTTATTGGCTGGCTCCACACATCATGACAAGCAACCCCAAACTGTTTCCACAGTGCACATTTTTTTGCCTGGATATGGGTCACAAATGACCAAGTATTTTCCACACTATCATGGTTTCCACCCGCATGACTTAGTTCTTGTGCTGTTGGCATGTATACTATCAGCCACTGCACCTGAACTTCAATGCCACACTAGATGGGTGGAACAGCTCCTGCAGTTACTGCTCCTTCCGGAGGACTCTATGGTAGCTGCATACCAGGCAAGGAAACAACGATGCAATCTTTAGGTGACTGGAGAAACCATAGTGAAGCATGGAAACCATAGAACAGACGGTTGTTTCTTATTAACATGCTGTGACATGATTCAGACAACACAACAAATGATACTGAGCAAGAAACCATCATGGCTTGTCATGCTGTGCAAAGTCACTCATTATCTTAGTAATCCATACAGCAGTCTTATAAAATACTTTTATTCCTACATTGACTATGACAATCCATCTGTGGGAGTACATATTAGACAGTTTTGTTTCAGCATCGTACAAGTGTTATTCTAAAAGAGAAAACTGCCCTGATAAGACCCTGTATGTTTTGCTAAATGTTACTTCCAAGGCAATTGAACTTTTTTTCACCAAGTTGTAATTTGGGGGAAAAAAAGGTAAATGCCTCTACTGACAACATGCAGCATATTAGACCTATATAAGGTTCAAGTGTCATTCTTGAGAATAAGGGACCTATCTGAGTTGTTTTCAAATATATTTGGTTTTCAGAAACTTTTTGATTCAGTTTGAACAGAACAACATGACTGTCAGTAAGATGGCAAAGAACTAGTGTACATTTCCAATTACAATGGGCACGAGCAACAGCAGCTAAATTTCTAAACAAATTTCCACCAAGTGAGGCAGTAACTCTGGCCTGAGGGGGAATTGAAACCTAGGTACCATGCTCTGGTACCTAGTGTATTAAACTTAGCATACTTGCTTAGTTTCATAAATCCTGGTTGTTGTGATAAGCAAAAAGAGCACTTCACTTGAGTTAGGTGGCCTCTTTGCAATCTTTAAATAAGATTATTCGCTACCCAGAACTTTTTATATTAGCAGTTACATTGGCAGATATATTAGCAGTCCTTCACCTGATCCTTATGAGAATCTGGCTGCTGATTATTTATTAACATCTGACAACTCTGAAAAGTTCTAGTGTATCAGATTCTAACTTAGCTAATTTGTGTTAACAGTTGGTAACAGTCAAGTGTCTTTGGTTCAACTAGCTAATAGTTCTGGCTCGGCAAAGGTAGAAATAGCTCTTAGATTGATATATTGAAGTTTGCAAGCAAACCTACACTCCTGAGTTAGACACAGTATGTCCACCCTGCCTGAATAAACCCATGTCTGTATGCTTCCCTACACATGGCCCTTCCCATGGTGTATCCCTATTGCCTGTGAGACACCTTCACATTTCCTGGTAGGGAGGGTGGCTGCCCCACAGCAGAGGGAGAACAGACATATAACGCTATCCCTCAGCCTACTGTGGCCTTTTCTGATCTAGCATCCACCAGATGAGTTGCAATATAACTCCCATAATAGGAATTGTAGTCCAACACATCTGGAGGGTACCTGGTTGAAGTAGGCTAGTATACTAAGCAGGCCTTAGTTTGCTACAATAAAGCATTCACATCAACCTACACAGCCGACAAAGAGCTGGACACACGGTACTCACCCTGTCTGATTGAAGCCATGCCCAGTAGTGGCACTAGGCATACTCCATGCTAAATGCATCCCCATAGCAATCTCTTCTATTGCTATGTTTCAGATGTATGGACTGCAGAGCCACGTGCTGGTTCCATGAAATCTGAACAGATTCTGGATTCTGTTCCATGAAATCTGTGTTTGTGCTGACTCAGATGAAGGATGTGGACTCAGCATGCAAACTTCAAATTTTTAAAATGGGCCACAATTTGCCCTTTTTTTGGCAAATACCTGGGGAAATGGTGCTTCCATATTTCTCATGGTGTTAGAACAAAAAGAACTCAAGTATAAAAAATTAGTGCCAATTTATACAAATTGCTCCAATTGTACTAACTGCAAAATGGCATTAGAGAACACCTAATAGTAGAATGGGTTATTTATCTCAGTTACTTCCAACAGGTGTAATTGCAGTAAAATTGTTCTATTTGGTGAATTATTTTTTAAATTTTGGACAATGGGAAAATATGCTAATCTTATCCTATTTTCATTGTATCTGTATGTTGTAAAAATTCTTGTGAACAACCAAGAAAACTTTGGCCCTTGGAATAATCTAGAAATGAAATAAACATATAATATATGTTTTTGCAAATATGTTAAGCAATTTCAGAGAAACTGGGATAAAAAAGAATCGACTCAGTTTTGGTCACATAGTTAGAAATGTGTCAAAAGTCCCTTGATTAAAAATGGAATGAGCCTTACAACGTTGCACATCCCTATGCCAAGTTTTAGGCACATAGATGTCAATGTCTTGGCCCTATGGTAGTGATGGATAGGCAAACAGAGATGCACAACCCCCCCTTTATTATTATTATACAGAAGATTTATAATGAATTTAATTATACTGAACTTAGTATTATTAAAATGTCCTGTTGTACAACTGGAACAATTTGTAATTGATATAGTATGTTTCAAAACAAATTGGCAGTATTTGGTTACTGTAATGAAACTCTTATTTGTATCCATGTTCTTGTATTGCAGGCCACATTGGACACTTCCATGTGGAAGATTAGTATATAAATTAAATAACAACAAGAACAGGAGTAGCAGTACTAGGAATATCCAGAAGCAATCTACAGCAATGCAGAATCTGCTTGGCCCATGACCATATACCCAACTGAAATAAAAGGCCTTAGTTCCAGACACTTATGTTTAACATTGTAATTGGAAACATGAAAAATGACTCTGTTCATACCACTGATACTGCCTGGCTGGGCAGCTGCAAGAGCTTCAGCTTCTTTTAGTTCATTCCTCTTTGATTCCAAAACTTTAAGCAGCATTTGTTTCTTCTCAGAAAGTTCATATAGTTCCCTTTCTGTAAACAGATTGTTTTTGAAATGACCTGTTCAAAAATCATTTTCAGTCTTTTTGCTGCTCACACAGACATACAACAGAGCTAGCCCATCTAAATCTATCTTCCTCTTTCCTCTTGAGGATAGAACGTGGACTATATCGGTAAACGTCAGGACCTTTGTGACTCTGCAGGTCAATGGAGACTACTTTTGTAGATTGGTACCTTCACTGTGGTGCAGATTCTTGAGCCCATCTGCATCCTTCATGCACCCTGCCTCTGTGGAGGGAAAAATCTGGAACTTGGAATGAATCTGACAGGAGGCTGAAAGAGCCTTTCAGGGGAACTGTGTCAGTCCTCTTACACTGATAACCACTTAGAGACAAAATATGTGAGTGAGCCTGGCTAGTGCTGAGACAAAGACTATAGCATTCCCATACAGAGTCCCTAGAGATATTCCCAGTTTTTCACTAGAGATATTCACAGGTTTTTCACTTCTAAAGGGTTCTGAGGTTTCAAGCACCTGATGAGGGGTTTAGACCCTATCCCTCATGGGTATGACAGGAGGTCCTACTGTATGATGAAAATTTTCATCAGTTCCCTTGTGAGGAAGAGAACCAGTGAAAAGAGGCACAGCAATGAACTTGAGCTGTGGTGGAAGCTAGTAGGGTCCTGCAATGCAGGCCTTGTTATGGAGCTGATAGCAAACACCTACTCATTCACTGGTGTTGATGTTATGAGGTGCCCTTTATCCATCATCTCTGATGAGCCAGGCTTTTTAGCTGAGCCAGGCAAGATGGAGGCTTTGCCCACAAAATGGAAGACATCCACAGCCTATAGATGACTTACATCTGTCTTTTGATAGCCTCAATAATGACAAGGCTAATTAGGCTTACAACACTGCATGTCCCTTTCTAAATAGTTAAGGTAATTAATTTATATTCACCTCTGGATCTTCCTGTTAGAGCTGCCAATGAAGGACGACGCTGCATTTCTTGTATATTGTGTAAAGTTGCCTTTAAATCTTCAGTCAAACGTCTTCTTTGTTCTGCTATTTCCTGTAGTTTAGAATCTACGAAGTAATTTCAGTAATTTCATTGAAAATTAAAATATATTAATATTTGGTATGAATTAACTATATAAAATAGAAAAATGTAATTCATATACAATATACTCTAGAATATAAAATCACTGTTCATTTTATAGGTCATTTAATGCACATAATCTTAGGGTGCTTCTCAGTAAGGCTTTTATTATTCAGTCTCACTGGCTCACTCACATAATTTTATACAGAGGAATCATTCTACAACATTAAACATCCTGCATTTTGTAACTGTTTCTTCTTTTTCTTAGTAAAAAACCCAACAATATTAAGGAAGGAAAAATGAAGTATTCACACAATGTTTTCAGATTGTTAGCACTAGGAGCTCTCTATCTGAAAGTACACTCAATATTTTAAACCAGTGGTTTTCATCCACCAGTCCACAGGAGATTTCCTGCCAGTCCATGGGAGGGCTGCATCCCACTTGCCATGGAGTGGCATGGGGACTGGCTGTGCTCCACCACCTCTTCCTCGGTTGGCATCACATTCGCAGGGTGTGCACTGGTGCCACCACAGAGGCCAGGGAGGGGAGATGCCAATATTTTGTTCTTTCATTGGCATTTTTTGTTGCTTGGTTGTCTTGGTTGTTTTGAAGAATTTTCATTTTTTGGAATCATGTTTGGAAACTAATACACTGAATACAGTATTTTGTGTATAGTGCTTTTTGTTTCTGCCTTGGTGGTTTTCCTCTTTTTGCTGGTCAGTTTGGCACTGGCCTGAAATTTAAACAAAGGAACATTTAAAGTGAAGTACATATGCATACAACTGTAGATATCATCATGAAAAATCATAGAAAACGTACCACTGACACTGCCAGGTTGGGCGGCTGCAAGAGCCTGAGCTTCCTGTAGTTCTTTTCGATTGGATGCCAAATTTTCTAATAACAAGTACTTCTTCTCAGAAAGTTCAAATAATTCCCTTTCTGCAAAATTAGATATTCTATAATCATCTCTTTAATAATAATTTTGAAGTGGCCTCATTGCCACAGTACCACAAAAATTGAAGACACTTGTTTAAAAATAATTTGTTTTAAATGACAGTTTCCTTATCTCTGTCAACACACAGCTTAAGACAGGATAAACAAGACAAATTAAATCCTTCTGGGAATGCAGACACATAGCCTCTTAAGGGACCTAGCCTCTGCGAATATCAGAGATCCATGATGATGATTAAGGGCAGAAGTCTGCAATGATGGCTTTCTTAGGGCAGACCCCATGTCAACAAATGTCAAGATCGATGAGTCAAGCAGGCCAAAAGCCTGCCCCATCAAAGGTCTTTATGAGCCTTCAGAGGGTGGGGGAAGATGTTCTCAGATTAGATGTGGCCATTGAGAAGGACTTATCACAGCCAGTTAAAACCATACCCCTCACCCTGAAAATATACTTAGCATCACAGATGGCTCCCCTAAAGTTCAAATGACTAACTGGAGTGGATACATTCTCACACAGACATTGCTGCCACCAACCCTCACCATTTGGATTTCCTAAGCAGAATAGAATTAAAATAAAAGATCAATACAAATCAAATGCAATGCAAGATTACATGTGGGCAGGGGGTATAGTTAACCTGTTGCTACCAAGTTTTCTGGAGTTGGCTTCAAATTCAAACTTCATGATCAGGGGGAAGAGTCAATTTCTGAGCTGGGCAGATCTTTAAAGTTCCAGAAAGGATACCATACTATCCTCTTCTCTCTCTGGAGACAACTATGAATTAACATTAGTTTTTCAGTTAAAAAGACCCGCAGTACCATTTATTTTCGACTTACCACTGGGTTTTACAGTTACAGGTATTTCTGGGGCAAGATGCTGCAATTTTTGTATATCATGCACAGTTGCCTCTAGATCTTCAGCCAAATGTCTTCTTTGCTCATCTAACTGTTTTCTTCTAAAATCTACAAAATAATTTCAGACCAATTTATAGCTAAATATAATGAAAACTACTATATTAAGTAAAAACTATGAAATTACCTATAGTAAAATAGCAGTGCAATTAAAATTAGATACTACTTCAATTTTCAGATTATTTCATATTAATTGACTGCATTAAGATCTAGCACAAAACCATGATTCCTCTCCATACATGAGCTAAAACTATTTTTATAAGATTTTAAGGGCTTTCAAAGGATAGCCAAATGAGTGTATACTTGAAACTGGTTTATAAACCAAGATTTGGGCAAGCTTTGGTTTTCTGTTATGACTGAACAGACACACAGTGTTGATATACAACTTCAGGCACTCTTAGATGAGAGTGCAGATTCCAGTTGTTTAAATACAGAAACAGTCATTTACTGCAATGCAAACATGTATTGGAAATTGAAGCACCTTAATTCCAAGCATATATACTTAATCTTATAACTGAAAGGCATGAGAAATTACAGCATACATACCACCAACACTGCCACGTTGGGTAGCTGCAAGAGCTTGAGCTTCTTGTAGATCTTTCAAATTTTCCAATAACAGTTGTTTCTTCTCTGATAGTTCATATAGTTCTTTCTCTGTAAAAGATATGTTGCTAAATCATTTCATCAGAAACTGTTCCACAATATTCTTATTACTCATAGAGTCAGATAAAACAAAAAGTATATACAATGGATAATTTCAGAAAAACAAGATTTTCATTGTTTTTCTAAGAAACTAAATCAAGTCTTTCAGTTAAATGTAGCAAAGTAACTTCAGATGGGAGCAAGCCTTTGACAATCCTACAGGAGCATCATGCTTTTTTAGGGCAAAGATCTGTAACTATTACCCTCATATGAACATGGTAAGAAATGCCCACCACAGTACAAGCTCCACTCTAATCTCTCTCTGTGAACTCTTGAAAGCAAGGAAAACAGTGACTGTGCCTCACTCTCCCAGTTAGCACAAAACAGAAAGATAAACCTAATATATAATCTTGAATTAATCAGTTACAAGAGATCTAATAAAGTAAAAACAAACAGTTCAATACTGCTTCTAGCAACAAGAAGAGTGTACATGAGCAAGTGAACATCATAATAATTTTTAGAAGCTACTGAAGTAGGCTCTAGAATACCTCTGCAGTAAGTTTATCATTAATTGGGTTTTGTATTACCATCTTATTTTAAACCAAAAAATGGCTTATGAAGCAACTAAAGGACATAAAAGCAATCAATGGAAAATTGAAGAATTCCTATCTGCTTTCTCCCTCCCTATTACAAAAGCCTCACATTGGTAGGTGAAAGGGGAATAGTTCTCTACTGAAAATCAATACAGACATGATGGAAAGGAGCCTGACTTCTGCTTCTGATGATAGCAGTTACAACCCTGACAACTAAAGAAAGGAGAGGTTTCCACTGGGATTCAATGCAACCATCATGGAAAGGTGTCAGTCTGATAGCTCTTCTCCCTCTGAAAGTGTCACTGATGACAGTGGCAGGCAACACTGAAGCAAAATGCATCAAAAATGCCCCCTTAAAACTCAAGGTCATTTATTCTGTATTTACCACCAGGTTTTTCAGTTAGACTTTTCTCTGAAGCAAAACGCTGTGCTTTTATTATGTCCACAACAGTTTGATCTAGATCTTCAGTCAAACATCTTCTTTCTGCAGCTAGTTCCTGTAGTTGTTGTTCTATTAAAAAAATAAATTCATAACTCTCTCTCTCTCTCTCTCTATATATATATATGAATGAAACAATATTGAATTGTATTTAATAGTATCTATAAAATGTAAATATACTTAGCATGTATATAGTGCTGTATCACTCCATATATATTATACATGATAATGCTAAGGTTCCTGAGGATTGAGGCCTAGCTTTGGTGATTCCAATCTACAAAAATGGACAGAGAGACCTACCCATCAATTACCGCCCTATTAACCACCTTAGTACAGTCAGTAAACCATATGCTAGACACCTGTATTATAAACTTCAGGACTGGGTTGTAACTGAGAATATTTTGGCTGATAAGCAGGCAGGTTTTAGAAAAGGTCACTCAATCATTGACCATGCACTAACCCTGGCGCCAAAAATTCTTCTGGCGCACGCTCTTCACTCTGTGCAGCATACATTGACCTCAGATGTGCTTTTGATCTCATCTCCAGTATATACCCACAGCAATTAAAGTCTTCTCAGCTAAGATTCAAGCCCAGCTCCTGTTTGGAGCTCAAGTGGGACCCTAGAGGTCTTTTCTTTCCTTGGAAATAGTTCAGTCTAAATTCCTGAGGACCATTGTCCAAGCACCCCTCTGTGTCTCAAACATGGTCCTTCAATGTGAATCTGGCCTTCTTAAAATTGAAACTTCAGCCTGGATTTACATCTTTTCTTACTGGCTCAAGCTTCTCTTCTTTCCAGCTGGGTTGGTCCCTTTAATAATGACTGACAGCTTTCAGAGCTCATGGAGCCAGGCAATATAGGCCAAATTGCAATTGTATGGTTATTCATGGCCAGCTGTCTCCCTGATGGGCTATGAACAGATGTTAGCAGAACTTAAACAGTGGGTCATTGATTTAGAGCTACAAACAGTTTATCCAATTCTATCCAGAAATACTTTCCTGAACCATTCCGCACATCTTCTTCACCAGCTAGATATCTCAGTAGCATAACAATCCCCAAATTTAGAATGGATTTATCTCTAGCCAGATTTAATGCCCTCCCAACAACCATTACTGAAGGGAGATATAAAAAAATACCCCTTGAACAGAGATTGTGTCCATGTGGGGGAAAAACGATTGCTGGAGCATGTTACTGCCCTCTCTATACAGGTGCTCACCAGGAACTGTTATCTCCACTCCTTTCTAAATATTCCAGTTACTCCTATTCTCTTTATCTTAAGTTACTTTCAACCAATCAATCCAATTTTATCTCACTGACTACAGCCAAATACTGTTTGGTAGTTTGTACAGTGCATGGTAGAATTAACGCTAAATGTTGTTAGAATGCTTTTAGAATGCTACAAGAATGCTTTTATTTTATTTTCTTAATTATTGTAATTTTATTAGTACTGCATTTTTCTTATTTTTAACTAATTGTAATTTTGTGTTTTATTTATTGGCTAGTCAATGACTGAATAAAGAATTGATTTATTGATTATATATGCTAAATGTGCTCAAGTCAGACATACATATTATTCCCACATATCTGTACAACATAATTTTAAACATTACATATATTCTGATAATGTCATGTATCTTTACATGCATACAGACACACACACAGGTTTTCTGCCTGTTCAAACTTTTACTTTTGAGCTAGAATATCTTTGCACAAAATTCATTATCCATTTTTTACTGATATGTATGTAATGTTAAACCATGGCTTAGCATTAGAGGCGTGAGCCTATCAGCTGTGCATACCTCTCTTGCCCAAACCTCCTCTGACATGTTTAAAAGGAAAACAGAAGTTTTCTTTTCCAATTAAGATTAAACACAGTTTGTCAAGTCACACAAAACCTAAATTGAGTTTAAGTGTAAATGCAGTTCATAGAAACAAACCAGATTTAGTCTCCGAAATTGACATTCTATAGTCCCAGTGTAGCATGCTATACTATGTAAACTGAGTGGTACTATAGCAGTATTTCTTTCAGCTTTCAAACAGCTTTCTCATAGCCATAAATTCATCTATGTGCAAAACAATCCCATGGCTCCTAGACAGCATCTAGACAGTCATAGGATTGTTTGGATATGCAGCTTCTGGTTTGAGAAGCATTTTGGCCTCAGAGCTGGAGATCTGAACTCAGATCCTCCTCTACCCTCACTTCTGGCCAGCAAAAATAACTTTGCAGAATGGATTTGGCTGGTGTTTGGGGGGATGGGAAGAGAAGCAGACCAGTACAACCAAAATAGGGGAATCCTGGGGGTATGACAGCCTTCTCTCCTCCTCCTTCAACATGCCACAACTAGACAGCTGAAATCAATAATCTAGCTAGTTTGCAGAGCCTCCACATTCTTCTCAATCAGCATATCATGTCTATAATGCTCTGAGTTCAGAGGGTTCATAAGATTGTGCCCTCAGTATATTTAACGTAATGAAAGTATGAACAATAACAGCACACCTACCTCTGATATTGTCTGGTTGGGTAGTTTTAAGAACCTGCGCTTCCTGTAGCTTTTCCCAGTTGGATTGTAAATTTGACTGTAACACGTGCTTCTTCTTAAATAGGTCATGTAATTCTCTGTCTGTGAACCAAAATGTTTTTGAATCCTTCTGTGGTATAATTTCAAATGTTTTTATTTTATTTATTTATTTAAAATTTTCTATGCCGCCCCATTCGCCAAAGCCTCGGGGCGGCTTACAAAACAATTAAAATATAAAACACTAAAAATATAAAACACATTAACATTATAAAATAAGTCGCCCTGGCCGAAGAATTAAGCAAATAATATTAGCAATTAAAATGTGTTCTTATTATACACAAAGTAATCATGCAAAATAGAGATACAAAATGTTGGATTATCTCATAGGAATGGCAAATAACTTTTTCAAATCCCATCGCAGAGTACACTTCTTAAGACACATCAACAAAGTTCAGAGATATTCAAATACATTACACAGCCCAGGAGCAGAGTCAACAGTTCATAGCATGGAGGTCCAGGAGGTAAAGCACGCATGCACACACACACATTTATGCTCTGGAGCAGGAAGAATGGCATGGTTTCTAGCCTTGATGAAGCAGCCACTAAAGGCTTTTGACATTACAGCCTGCTAGGTTTCTCCCAGTACTCAGCTGCATCATGTTAGAGCTGTCCGGTTACACAAAAGACCCTTTCCTCCCAAATACATTTTAGTTGTAGTTTGGCAACTAAAATGTATTCCTCCCAAATACATTTTAGTTGTAGTTTGGCATTTCAACAAGTTTCTTGGAGCTGGGTGGGCTTCCCCTGGCACCATTGCCCCTTGAGAACTAATAGCTGCTCAGCATCATTTGAACAGCATGTCTACTCATGAGTAAGCAGGACAAGCTTCAGAAGTAGCTTCATCCCTAGGTGAAGCCCCTCTACTCTTTAGCCACAGGTTCCCTAGATGAGATAGATCTCATCTATCCACAGTTCAGCAGTGGTGCAAGATAGTTTTATCATTGTTCTTAATTTTTAGAGTAACTACTAATCAAGCAGTCTTCCATTGTTTCTGGACAAATTAAACACCGTTTCACTCCATTTCAAACCCAGGCTGTGACAAAACAAACTGTAGAAAAGTTAAAGGGTAATGGGTGAATTCTTCTGCAAGGCAGTATATAACTCTGGAATTTTAAAGCTGAAGAGTGGCTAACTACCTTATAATTTGTTAGAAACAATGGACTGCTTGTTTTTTCAAGTATGCTTTCAAAATTCCAAATCCATACATCGTCATTTTTACCTACCAATCGTTTGTTCTGCTTTAGTTGCTTCTGAAACACGACGCTCAGCCTTTTGTATATCATGCATAGTTGCCTCCAGATCTTCAGTCAAGAATCTTCTTTCTTCTGTAAGCTCCTGAAGTTTAAGTTCTTCAAAATAATTTCAGGACAGCTCATAAAAAACAATATTTTTGCAGAATACCACAGTGTAATTTGTTTGCAGTAGCTCCTGCACATTTTAAATAATAATAGTTGCAATTATAGTACTGGCAGCAGTTCTTCAAGTATAGTAAGCACAGTGATATACTTACATGGTGTTACATATTAGATCTATTTAAGGTGAGTCTTAAATAGAGTCTTAAAACAAACAAACCTTATCTCCTGCTTAGCACTGATTGCAAGTAATAAAATGTGGTTAATTAGCGGTATTTAAGACTATAGTCAACAAGATGAGAGAGGATAGCATATATACCAGTGATACTATCTGGTTGGGTAGCAACAAGGTCCTGAAGTTTCTGAAGTTCCTTCCAGTTGGATTCCAGACTTGCCTCTATAGCTTGCTTTTTCTCAGACAGCTCATATAGTTCTCTTTCTGGAAAAGAGTTTTTTTTTTTTCAAATAAGCTTTTTAAAAGATAATTTCAAATGTTCTCACTGCTCATGAAATCAGATAAAATAAAAAATACAAAAAACAGGATTCTTTCTAAAAATGTATTATTTATTTACAATACTTTTAGACTTTTAATGGTAAAAAATGTTCTCAAGGGGTTCCTATAAATAAAAATTATCAATAAACATCAATAAAAGGGAGCAACAATAATAAAACAAACATCCAGTATCAAAAGTGCTAAAATTAAGTAATTGATTGCAACAATTGCCACCCAAAAAATCCAACTCAAGAAAACAACTAAGGAAAACATCTGAAAATGATGGGTGCTTATGGATCACAGCTGATAATGCATTCCAAAGACAAGGGGCCACTGGCAAAAGGCCCTCTTCTTCAACCTAAATGTTCTCAAAGGTAGGCATGCAAGAACAATCTTCATCATTGATCTTGTTTCAGCATATCAACCTTTTCATTTTGAATTCCAGTTTGCACATTGTAAGACAAGGCAAATGGAAATGTATCAAAGCAATTTCCATAAGACTTAAATTTCTGAGAATATCACACAGATCAAATATTTCTTGTATTTTAATTATGTTGTGAGCCGCCCCGAGGCTTCGGCGAATGGGGCGGCATAGAAATGTTTTAATAAATAAATAAATATGACAGTCTATCACAGAGATCTGTAAGCATGAGTTCCTAACTCCATTCTCAGGGTCTTCTCGGATTCTGCTTATGGTCAAATTATATATTACTTTAAATACACTTTTCCTAAAGTGTGATTAAGCCAGTTAATTAATTAATTGTGTTTCCATTATTAGTTAGCTGGGAATACTAGACGTTCTTTACTGATGCTCAGGTCAAGTATAATGGAAGGGTGCCTGGCTCATGTTTCTGTTCCCTTTGATGGCCACCATGATGACAGTGTTAACTGAGCTTGCAATATTTAATGATTTATATATTTAAATTGTTTGTATCCCATCCTTTACAGCATCTCAAGGCAGAGATAATATAAAAAAAATAAGTACGTTTTTACAATACTGAAGCAACAGCAATGCTTGATGATTTTTTTAATAAGCTGTATGTTCACCATATTTTACATACCCACAGATTCAAGTAGAGACTTCTTGGAAGCTTTTTGTATATTGGACACAGTTGTCTTTAGATCATCAGACAAGTATTTTCTTTGTTCAGCAAGCTCTTGTAGTTTATGCTCTGCAAAATAATTGCAAGTCAATTCATACCAAATATTGATATGCTGAACTAATCCAGTAAATATAACAGTGCAGTTTGCATGGAATATTATCTGAAAATCTAAGTATTAATATTTGTATTTAGTGCTAGTTTAATGTATTGCTTTATGAGTATGTACAACTAGACTCAATAATCAGTTGTCTAGTTTGTACAGTCACAGGGTGATTAACAAGACATGATGGTTTGTTGACCAATTTGTATATGCCCAGTTGTATGCCAGCTAACATGCATAATTACATTTGCTTAGCATAACTTCTCGTGGCATATAAGCCAGATAAGGATGGCTTGTTTGGGTGACTAAGAAATGACCCAAAGACATGGACTGTTGTAGGGTAGGTTGGTGCTTCATTAACCATTCTAAAAAGCTATCCTTACTAGGTTTGGACAACACAAGAAACTGCAATGTTGGAGCCTTGAATAGGAAATTCAGCTCCCGCAAGTGCTACAAACCCATTATGGCTAATAGGCTACAGTAGGCTGTGGTGATTTGGTTAGTATTATTAATCACATATTGCATTACCACCATTGCTGCTTATTTGTGTGATGTTTTTCCATTGTAAAACCATGCTAAAAATGCCTTACAGAAGCATCAAGAAAATATATGCAATTAAATATTGCAATATGTTTAAACAATTATTTATTTATTTATTTATTTATTTTATTTAGAAAATTTCTATGCCACCCCATTCGCCGAAGCCTCGGGGCGGCTCACAAAACATTAAAATATAATACATTAAAAATATAAAACGAATTAACAATATAAAATAAGTCGCCCTGACCAAAGAATAAAATAAGGAAATAATATTAGCAATTAAAATGACGTTTGAATAAAAAGGTCTTCGCCTGGTGCCGAAAAACAAATAACGACGGCGCCAGGCGGACCTCTCTGGGGAGCACATTCCATAGATTTATTTATAAATAAATAAATTTATTTATATTTATAAATCTAATGGGACTTAAATCAGATATGGGGAACTTGTGGTCCTCCAGACCTTTTGGCCTGAAATTCATCTGTCACCATTGGCTGTATTGACTACAACTAACAGGAGTTGTAGTCCATCAATAACTGGAGAGGCAGAAGTTGTCCATCCAATTTAACATACATATACCCTAAACAGAACACCTCACATTAATAAATGTACACTGAGATTAAGCAGTCCAATAATAAATCATAAGGCCAAACAAGGAGAGATGCTTCTTAGGCAACTATCTTTTCACAATGGAAATCAAATACCTTAAAACATTATTCCAGTCAGAAATTGTGTCTCATAAACCTCTTGCTTATAAAACCTCACTTTCAGAAAAGTTGTGGTTTTTTAGATTTATAAAACCCTTGTACAAAACCAAGAAACAAAAACTTTTGTTGACTCCATGTAGCATATTCAGACTATGTCTCCAGTAATACAAAGAGAATCCTCCACAGCAAAGGTGGCCATACTATGAGTGGATTTAAAATATCCTTAAGTCCAAACACAGATGTTCAAGGCTTTAATTTACAATATGCAAAACCACAGCAAACCTACCACTGATACTGCCTGGATGCATAGCTGCAAGAAACTGAGCTTCTTCTAGCTCCTTCTGATTAGATTTCAGCTTTTTCTGCAACACTTGCTTCGTAACCATTAATTCATATAATTCCTTTTCTTTAAATAGAAATAGTTTAAACTCATTTCTTGAAAACAATATATCATCTTTGCTCACAGCACTTGACAAAATGCATACAGCTATCCATAATTAAAACATTTCATATAAATGACAAGAGACATCTTAGTTTCCCCTGGTGAAGCAGGTAGAAGATAAATGAAATAAATCTGGCATTGAAGCAAAGTAACTTAAAGAGGATCTAAGTCTCTGAAAATTACCACACAAATCCCTATGATGATTTAGGATAGAGGTCTAACAACATGAACCCTTTAGAAATGCACAAGAAAAGGCAAAGCATGGGATTTTCTCCATTAATCATTTGATTAAGATGGAAACAATCCCAATTTTCCATGTCTCCTCTTCAGTGAATATTGGGAGGCTATTTGTAAATCTTGTACATAATTGGTAATATGGTTGTTTCCCAAACTGGGACACAGGAAAGAATGATCATTGCCAAGGTCTTTCAGGTGACCCAGATCATTATGGTATATTTCAAATGTTAATGGTAGTAAGTGTGCTAATTGGAAAAGAAGCGGCTTTAGTGAAGCTTGGACAGTTCCTTCCTGCTGTCTGGTCACGTTTTATAAATCCCCATGGAACTGATGCTAGAGGAGAAAAGAGATTGTACCTTTGACATTCTTGCCTTATTTATTTATTTTCTATATTGCCCGACACCCAAAGCACTCTTTAGAGATTGCTTTAGAGGAAGGTGCCATAGTTTAGTGGTAGAGCACGTGCCATGCACATAAAATGCATTTGGTTCATTCCCTGGCATCTCCAGTTAAAGGTATCAGGTAACGATGTGAAAGATCTGTCTTAATTCGCTCTCTGCACTGGCTGCCAATAAATTTCTTGTGGTAGCATTTCAAACCCCTAAAAGATTTGGGGCCAGGTTACCTGAACCATTGTTTCCTCTCATATGTACCCACCCAAATCCTAAGGTTCAGTACTACTTTTCTGTGAGCTCCTGCCAAATTAAGTGAGTCTAATGGCTACTAAGAAGAAGGGCATTTCTGTTCTGGCATCCTATTTGCAGAATGTCTGCTCCAGAAAGGCTTGGCTAATGCCTACATTGTGATTCTTTCATCTTTGGGTAAAGACCTTAGTTTCCAAGGCCCATCTTAAAACTTGCAGTTTCTGGTTGTTTGTTTGTTTTAAATGGTGACTGTATTTTAAATTCTACTCCTTCTGGGTTTTACCTGTTTTGTTTTGTTGATTTTGTACTGTATTTTTAAACTTCTATGTTAAGTTTTATCATATTGTATTTAATGGTTTTGCCTGTCATGAACCACATAGACAGCTTCAGCTATATTGAGTGACACAGAAATGTAACAAACACACACAACTGGTTCAATCTCTACGTACCACTAGGTTTTCCAATTACAGCCCTTTCTGAAGCACGGCATTCTGCTTCTAGTATATCATGTTCCATTCCTTCTAGTTCTTCAGTCAAGTATCGTCTTTGTTCAGCTAACTCTTGTAGTTTTTGCTCTACAAAATGTTAGACCAAACCATATTTGGTTTCCCTTTCAATAAAAACATACCGTCAAAGGCAGTTTCCATCTTCTAAATGAAGATGAAAGCAATGTTGCTACAAAGATTATATGACACGTACCACCAAAAGGTGGGGTTCATTTTTTAAAATTCTCTTTGATTTCAATATGCTTTTGAAAATAAAGTTGGCAACCATTCAAGAAACCTATATATTTACAAGCATTCAAATCTCTACATTGGCTTGTATGACTGTGCTGCTTTCTGCTCTGTTCAAGAGAAGATAATAACAACTGACAATCTTCTTTATAGGTTTGCTGCCCCTTACAGTTCAGGGGATCTTCAGATTGCATTACATGTATCATTAAACTGTAATTTTCTGATAGCCGTTAGGTCCTTTAATAGAAAGAGTACTTACACTGTGTTATACCATTTAACTGGTAGCATTCTGTCTGGTACTGAAAAAGTTTCAAAGCTGCTTTAATTAGTTAAGATAAAAGCTTAGATAACATATTCTTGGATATAGGGCTGGTTAATTTCAAGGTTGTGGTGGTGGTGGTGGTGGTAGTAGTTGTTGTTACCCATTGTACCGGAGAGCATCCAGATATTTTGTACAATGTGTATACTGGTCACTGATCACAGCAATTTTTATCATCATCATCATCAAAGGGTATTAATGACAATGTTAGAAATCATAGTATACATACCACTGATAGCACCTGGATGCATAGCTCCAAGTTCCTGAGCTTCTTGTAGCTCTTTCTGATTGGTTTTCAACTTGCCCAGTAACTCTTGTTTTTTTTCAGACAACTCATATAATGTCCTTTCTGCAACCAGAAATATTTCAGTCATCTTTCATAGAAAATGTTTCAAAATTCATCATTGTAACAAAAAAGAAGCAATATTTTAAAAACACAGATTCACAGAAATAACAGATAAAGGCAGGTTCATTACCTGTAACTGTTGTTCTTCCATGGTCATCAGTCTATTCACGCATTTGGGTTCTATGTCTGCATGGAGCTTGTTACCAGGATAAGTCAATAGCCATGAGTTTTCAATAGGAGGAACCCCTCCCTCACTCTGGTGTCCAAATAAAAGGGAGAGGCTCCCGCCATTTCCCTTGGTTCCAACAAGACCACCCAAGTGGGTTTCGGGATGAGGGAGGACTGACTGACCTCACATTCAGCAAAGTAGTACCATCCCCAACTTAGTGAAAAGTACCATAAAGGGGAGGGACTGGAAGAACAGCAGTACTAACTTTGCATTCAGTGAAGTAGCACCATAACCACATTAAGGAAGGGAAAAAGACATGAAGAATAAAGACACAGGCCTGGTTACCTGAAGGAGCATCTCCTTCCATACGTGCCTGCCCGCCCCTTAAGATCTGGGACAGATATCATTCTCCAGGTGCCCTCCCTGAAGGAGATGAGGAGGGTGACTACCCAGAGAAGGCCCTTCTCTTAGCCATTGAATCATATCCATAACAGGTTCCATGCAGGTTCAGAGCCCATATGTGTGATGCACAGAGACCACAAAGAAGAACGTTTTTTATTTATCATTTATTTATTTGTATTCCAACTTTCCACCAAAACTGGCGTTCAAAGCAGCAAATTACACACCTTAAAATGCAGAGAACCCACATTCAAGGTGTCTGTGAACATAATCAAGAACAATTGAGCCCCTTAGTCCACACTTACATAGATAAAATCCAAGAACCTCTCTGACACCCCTAAACTGAGGCCTTGATTAAGTGAGAAAAGCATGTACTTCATCTTCCATTTACTTTGAAAGGAGCAGGGGGCTATAAAAATTTCCTCTGGTACTGATTGTCAGTGTTGGAAAGTCAGCTCTCATGTCAATAGACTGCATTTAAAATCCATTCAGCACTAATTAACATGTAGCATGAAATCTACTGAGGTAAGTTTCTCAGCAGCTCTAGAATCCTACAGTTGACTTCAGTAATGGGAGCTGAAGGGATGGGAATGCACCCCTATCCAGCCCTAATAAGACAGTTCTCCCCCGACCCCTCATCTCCTCCCTCAGATGACCTGAGCGATGAAAGTGATTATACAGCTTGCAACACTGAAGTAATACCCATACTACATACCTCCATAAAACTTATTTTTATTCCCTACTTACCAGAGGGTTGCGAAAGTGCATGCCCTTCTAAAGCAAGATCCTGTGCTTTTTGTAGCTTCTGTGTAGTTTTCTCTAGATCTGTAGCTAAACCTCTTCTTTCCTCAATTAGCTTCTGTAGTTTATAATCTACCAAATTAATTTATAACTGGTTATCAGTACTAATATACTTTAATTGCATTCATTAGAATGGAAATAGATATACATTGTCTGTACATACTTTAGTAAAGGCATTATTGCATTACTCATTAAACCTCAAAAGTCCATGTCCATCTCTGCCAAGTGAGATGTGAAACTGAAAGAAACTTTGTTAGTAAAAGGGTGTGCCATGTATATTGCCCCCTTTTCAACAGAATCTTCTAGTTTTCTTTGTTTGGGCCTGACTAAGTGTTCTCTTATCTTTCCCAAGCTTATAGGTGCTTAGGAAAGGGAAAAAGGACAAGCTATCCCATTTCTGGTACCAAGGAGTTATGATGGTTTCCAGAACTTAAGCTTCCTATTAAAATAGGTTTTTAATGGATCCAATCAAGGCAGGAAAGCAGGGGTTGACAGGGGCCATATGTGGATTTCACAGAACATAGGAGGCCTTATTATAACGAGACAGACCTAGCTGAGTATTGTTGACTCTGACTGAGGATTTGCAGGGTTTCTGCAAGGAATTTTACACTACCTAGAGATGCCAGGAACTGAACCTGGGACTTAATACATGCAAAGCTCCTCTTACAGGCCTTCTGAAACATACAGACCTTGTTCTCTGAAAAATCCCATCACCATTATATGAGTAATGGGTTTCACCTCTCTGTACATCTTCTATTATCTACGTCTCCCCTCAATAATATATTTGCCTGGTCTGTCTCACTGACTTACATCTATGGCCTGGTAGCCTGCATTCTTCCCACAGCTGCTGGCAGCTTATGCTCTTTACAGGTTTTTGAAAAGTGGTATTGAAATGGTATTATACATAAATAAAGAACTGAAATAGAACATTAATTAAAATAGTTTATATTAAATAATGTAGGTGATAGCATGAAAATCACATACCACTGATAATGCCTGGCTGGGCAATTGCAAGAGCTTGAGCTTCTTGTAGCTCTTTCTTATTGGATTCTAACTTGTCCAGTAGCTCTGCCTTCTTTACAGACAATTCATATACTTCCCTTTCTGTAAAAATAACAGAATAGAATAGTTTTGAATAATACCTTGAAAATAGTTTCAAAATTCATCATTGCTTCTAGTCATATTAAATAGACCAGATAAGTTAAAATTGTGTGTCAAAATATGAAATATCAAAAGATGAAACACTTAGAGCAGGGGTGTCCAAACTTTTTGCAAGGAGGGCCAGATTTGGTGAGATGAAAATGTGTGGGGGCTGACTATTCAGCCTGACATTCTTTGAACCATTAACATTAAATGCAAATGAACTATTTTATGAAAGACTAAACAAATAACTTAACTGCACTAATGTGAAGGGTGATACTGAGATCTCAACTGCATTATATAGGCCAGGTCTGGCTCAAAAACAGTGGTTTTGATGCGCAAGATGTCACGCAGGTGAAAGTCACTTAGTCTCGTCCTCACACGGTTCTTGTTAATGTTCATAACCGAGAATGTCTTCTCGCACAAGTATGTCAAACCAAACAAGTTCAGCACTTTCTTAGCAAATGTTCGAATCTCTTGGAACCTGTCTTTATCAAGCTGGCAGTAAAAGTTGACAAGAGCGAGCTGTTGGTGCCTACTACGACACTCGGCATCACACTGCAGCTCAATAAGCTCCAGCTGCAGGTGGTCTGGAGCGTCACCAGGGTCCATAGAGAAAGATGAAAAAAGCGTGATCTCCTTTTCAATAGCTGCAAAATCCTGAAAGCGCTGTTGAAACTCCTCAGCCAGAGATGAGATGTCTGCTTCATACCTCCTTATTTGCGCACTCATATTGTTCTGTGGAAAACTGGTCATTATTTCCTGCAGTGATGGGAAATGTGTGGTATTGGGCTGCATTTGTGACAGGTGCCTTTGGAAAAGTAGCAGCTTGATCCCAAAGGCTTTGATATGTGAACACAGTTGGCTTACCACTGCATTTTGCCCCGGAAGGCTCGTGTTCAGCATGTTCAGATGCCGTGTTATGTCAACTAAAAATCCAAAATCAGCCAGCCAAAAAGGATCGGATAGCTCTGGCATTGGTTGTCCCTTTTTTGCCAAGAATAGTCCGATTTCCTCCCTAAGAGAGTAGAAGCGCTGCAGTGCAGACCCCCGACTGAGCCATCTTACCTCATTGTGATACACAACATCTCCGTATTCAGCCTGGATGTCGAGTAGAAACTGTTGAAACTGGCGGTGGCACAGGGCTTTGGAGTGAATATAATTAATAGCCTTCATCACCAGTTTCATAACATGATCATATTTCAGATGTTTGGCACAGAGAACTTGTTGGTGAATAATACAGTGGAGTTTTATAGCTTTGCCTCCTTCTTCGCTGACTTTGTTACAGACTAGGGTTGATAATCCACTTTGCTCACCAGTCATGGCAGGTGCACCATCCGTAATAATCCCAGTGACTTTATTCCACGGTAGTTTCATGTCATCTATGGTGGAACAAACAGAAACAAATAAATCTGTTCCTCTTGTTTGGTCCTTAAGGCTCTGGAGGTCAAGTAGCTCTTCACTCACGTTCATGTCATTGTCCACTCCTCTCAAAAAAATCAATAACTGAGCGGTGTCAGATGCATCCGTGCTTTCGTCACAGGCTAACGAAAAAAAGTCAAACTCCACTCCTTTTGCCTCTAACTGTCTCTTAATATCAGATGAAACGTCTTCAATTCTCCGTACCACAGTGTTATGAGCCAGGCAAACATTGGCAAACTCTTGCTTCTTCTCAGGACAAATTTTCTCCACCATTTTCATCACGCAGTCTTTAATAAATTCACCCCAGTAAAAGGTTTGCAGTGCTTGGCAATCAGCGTTGCCACCTCGTAGCTCACCTTTGTGGCATTTTCATTTGACTCACGGGCTCTTGTGAAAAAGCGCTGCTGTGCCGTTAAAGCAGCTTCCAGTTCCTTCAATTTTTCGCTGCATTCGTTCCAGTTAGCTTGTTGTAGTTAGCATGTTTCGTCTGGTAGTGCCTCTTGATATTGAATTCCTTGAAAACAGCCACAGTCTCTTGGCAAATTAGGCAGACACAGTTGTTTCATATTTCAGTGAAAAAATACTCCAATTTCCACTTGTCCTGGAAGCGGCGGCCCTCGCTGTCAACTTTCCTTTTTTTAGTTACAGTCGCCATTTTAGAAATGGGCACACAAGCCTTGTGTCACAAGGGTCACGCGGCGAGAGTGCTGACTCAGGTCTACTGCCATCTTCTGATGAAATATAACTACCAGCCTTGAAGGAGCAGGAGGCAGCAGGGGAAAGCTGCGGGAACCGCTGTGCAGTGAAGGGAAAAACACCGGCCGGCGGGGATGAGTGACAGGCTGAGCCAGCAGGGAGAAGAGGCTGCGGGCCACTCGAAATTTGAAAACGGGCTGCAATTGGCCCCCGGGCCGGACTTTGGACATGCCTGACTTAGAGAATGTTCAAATTCCCAGTTCTGAAGCTAGAGATAGTACTCTGACTGTGGAGTTAGGAGTCAGAGCCCTAATCCCCTTTCCACACCCTTTTCTACCTAGGACAAAACCAACCATGCTCTACAAGGCCAAGAAAACAACTCCAGTGAGAGAGTAATGGGAACATTCTAAGGGCAAGGAAAGGGACATAAGAGAGGGGGTGGCCAGAATATGACATATCCCAAAGCCTCTCCAGCCTTCTAGTTTTCCTTTCCAAAATGTCCCAGCTAGACAGCCAAAAGTTACTAGTGAAAATGCAGAGTGTAAGAAGTGGGGAAGCAGGCTGCATCCAACAATCTTCCCACTCTGTATTAGGTGAATGTTTGAGTTTAGAGATTTCCACTCATTTCAATACAACTTCACTTTTATACAGCAACCTTTTATATGTAGATAGATAGATTCTTGTAAGGGGGTGGACAGTATACTGACCTGTACTGACCACGATACATTGTTCTGTCTTTTAGTCAAAAATTACTGTGTGATGAAAGTAGTTTTTAGCATGGCATATACCCCAATAGATGGACAACAGATGGTCGTCCTGTAGCCAAATAGTTTCGTGTGTAATCACAATTTATATAGGTCTAAAACAAAGCCATGCAGCAAATTGGACACCCTCTCCAGGAACTCAAACTCCTGGTCATGGCAAAGTGGACCAGAATCTAGGAAACCAAAACAAGGCAATCCGGAAGATTTTTCACACAAGACAGATTCTTGCATATCCATAATCAGAATCATTGGAATGAGTGTATATGCACAGCTCCTGACCCCCAACTCAGTATCACATGCAGCCATCAATGATGAAAATGTTATCCACTCCTGTGTTGAGTTTATACTACTCAAATCCTAGGATAATTGCAAATAAAATTAATACAAATTATTGTTTCAGGATGGAATTTTCAGTATGTCTAGATCCATAAATTATGTTTTCTCTCCCTTTCTTAGCCTCAGCAACACTAAATCACAATGCATAATGGGTGTCTTTTATAATATGCAAAATAATTTATTTTTTACACACCAGCAGGTTGTAGAAATGTTCTTTCTGAAGCATGATGATATACATTTTGTATATCATCTGCAGTTGACTCCAGTTCTGCAGTCAATATTCTTCTTTGCTCTGCCAACTCTTGCAACTTATGCTCTACAATAGTTTATTACAAAGTATCAATACAGATGAAAATAACTGCATTAAATACAATAAGAATAAACAGGATTATCTGGAACCTTACAAATATAAATGCTAAGCATTTACCTAATGTGTGTTGTGTCACTTCATAGAAGTTCTCAAGAACCCCCCACAGTCTAACATGGTGGCTAACTTGTGGAGGTATTTCATCGGTATAGTGCAATGGTTAAAACCAGACAAAACAAAAACAAGTAAATTATACCAACCAATGAAAATATTCCATTAGTATTACATTGATTATACATGCAGTATTAAAATATAATAATTTAGGTAAGTAATGGGCACCAAGTTATAAAGATCTTACTTTCAGACAAAAGTATTTACTGAAACAGTGCTGTGGGCTGATTTGTCTCTAAAGCAAATCAATGGGGACAAACAGTTTTGGTAGTATGGGGCACTCACCCTCCATCTGAATGCTCTGACATCAACTGATTATCCAGCGCTTCTGTTCATATAGCCTGCTCTCTGGAGATCCTATCAGGTATTTACACAAGCGTAAGAAATCACAATATACATACCAATGACACTGCCTGGCTGTGATGCTGAAAGTGCTTGAGCTTCTTGTAGCTCTTTCTGATTAGATTCCAACTTTTCCAGTAACTCCTGCTTCTTCCCAGATAGTCCATATAGTTCATACAATTCCTGTTCTGCAAATACATATATTGGATCATCTCTTTAAAAACTAGTTTCAAAAGTCCTCATTTTTCACAAAGTTATTCAGAAATGACATTTACAGTGGTACCTTGGTTCACGAACTTAATCCATTCCATGACTCTGGTTGTGACCCAAACTGGTTGTGACCCACGTCAAATTTCCCCATAAGATTCAATGTAAATAAGGTTAATTTGTTCTGTAACTATTTTTTTAATCAGAAAAATTTGAAACATAGTGACAAAGAACAACAAAGTAACAAAGTACTGTACAGTACAGTGGAGAACACTAACCTAGGTGTGGGGGGAGGTTATTGTTTTGAGGGAGAGTCCCCCTCCATAAGGACATTGGGGAGATTTCTTTCAGGGGTTTCCTCTCTTCTTGTCTCTTAGCTGCAGGGTCAATTTTGGTGAAAAATCTGTCGATAGTCACTTGATGTTTTCTGTGCTGCACAACCCTCCCGAAATGAGAGACCACGTTATCGTTGATCAGATTCAACATTCTGTTTGTTACAGTTATGTTGGGGTGCTGCTTCTCAAAGAAATTCTGGCACAGGCATGCTCCTGCAGGAAAGACGGGCGCAATCTCGGCCATCTCCTCCCCCCCAAAACCAGCACAATCAACCCCCCCCCCCACAACCAGCTTTCCTGCAGGAGCATGCCCGTGATCATGCACATCTTCACTGCACGAACGCCACTGCGATCATGGCCATCTCCCCACTTGGGGGGCAGGGGTAGGGAGATGGCTGCAATCTTGGTCACCACCCAATGCGGAGTTCACGACCCAAGTCAAAATTTTCATGAAATTTTTGTTTGTGACCTGATTTGGTCATGAACCAAGGCATTCGTGAGCTGAGGTACCGGTATACTAGGGATGACAGAAACAACAGATTGAAATAAGTTTTCAATCCTAGGTACCTGATCTAGGAATACAGCAGACCTGATTTTTACAAGTTGTTCAGAATCTGCAAACTTGTGGACCAGTTTTTTTTTTTTTTTTACTTTTGGGGAGATTTGCACAAGTGTTCATTACTACAAGTGTATATTAGCATGAATGTGCATTAGCACAGATATACATTTGCAAACTTGAAAAACATTCTCACAGATCCCCCAAAATAAATCTATGCATGAGTGGATGGTGGAATGAAAGATGTCTGAAAATCGGCAAAACACAGGCAGAACAGATTTAATAAGGTCCACTTACCACTAATAGTTACATTTTTAAAAAATAACATATTTCTCATTTGTCAATAAACCTTTAAGACAGGGCAAAGAAGTAAAAGTCACTCCTTCTGGGAATGCAACACAGTAATCCAATAACAGAGCAATCCCAAAGCTGCATTATGGTGGGGTAAAGATAACTGCTACTTCATGAGTAGAATAGTTGATAGAACTAGTCCAGCTTATGGTTAGTCCAGGAAAGGATGGAGAAGCACAAATGAAATAAAAGGTTAAAAGGCTACAGAAACGTCAAGCATACTGTAAAGCTAATTATGAGCTAAAACGTAAAGCTAATTATGAGCTGAGACTTACAAAGAATGTCAAGAGCAACAAAAAGGACTTCTATTTTCATGTAAATAGCAAGAGGAAGGGGAGACAGGTGGTGGGGCTGCTTAAGAGGGAGGGAGGGAGGGGATCTGGTAACAGATGTAAGGGAACAGGCACAGATGTTAAATGATTATTTCGCTTCTGGTTGGAGGAGATCCACCTGGGGGGCCAGATGAGGTTGGGGTTATCGGGGAACAGACTGGAGTTACTCCCCTAGAGTTAAACTATCCCTTGAGTGCTCCCCATCTCCCTAGGCAATTGATTCCATTGTCATACGTCTCTAACAGTTAGGACAGTTTCCCAGATATCTAAACAGAATCTGGTTTCCTGTAACTTGAGTCCATTATTCCATGTCCTGAACAATGTTCTTCCTATTTGTGACAGACTTTCAAGTATTTGTAGAATGCTATCATATCAACCCTCAATCTTCTCTTCTCAATGCTGAACATGCCCAGTTCTGTCAATTTCTCCTCACAGGACTTTGTTTCCAGACCCCAGATGATCCTCGTTGCCCTTCTCTGAACCACCATCAGCCTGTCAGCCTATTTCTTAAACTCTGGTGCCCAGAATTGGACAGAGTACTCCAGATGAGGTCTGACATTTGCTGAATATAGGAGAACTAGTATTTCATGTGATTTGGAAGTGATATATCAGTTAATGCAGCCTAAAATAGCATTTGCCCTTTTTGCAGCCACATCACATGGTTGACTCATATTCAGCTCAACAATTCCAAGTGTGTGATCCACACTGCAGTATTGTTGAGCCAAGTATTTCCCATCTTGTAGTGATGCATTTGGGTTTTTTTCGCCTAGATGCAGAACAATACAAAAATTACTAGATACCAACAGTTGGTAAATTTCATTTTGTTGTTGTCAGCCCAGCATTCCAATCTTTCAAGATCACCTTAAATCATATTTCTGTCTTCCAGGGTAATAGCTATCTCACCCAGTTTTGTGTCATCTGCAGATCTAATAATCTTCTCCTGCAGTTCCTCATTCAATTAATAAAAAATTAAGAGCACTGAGTCCAGGTCTAAACCCTGCAGCACCCACTTGCTACCTCCCCAGAGTTTAAGAAAGTGTCATTGATGAGCACTCATTGAGTCCAATTCTTTGGACAATTATGGATCTACCTAATACTGGTTCCATCTAGCCTTTTTAGTTAGTTTGCTAATTAGGATATCATGGGGTACTTTGCCAAAAGCTTTGCTAAAATCAAGACAGAGTATGTCTACAGCATTCCTACTGTCCATCATTTTAGAAAATGAAATCAGATTAGTATGCTAGGACTTGTTCTTGAGAAATCCATGCTGGTGTCTAGTAATCACTGTATTATTTTCAAGATGTTTGCAGACTGACTGCTTTATAATATCCTCCAGAAATTTTCCAGGGATTCATATCAAATTGACTGGTCTGTAGTTCTCAGGTTTCTCTTTTTTTCCTTTTTTGAAGATAGGAACACTATTTGCTCTTCTCCAGTCATCTGGTGCTTCCCCTGTCCTACATGATTTCTTAAAGATAATAGGTAACAGTTAACAGAAAACAACAGTTAATCGTTTTTTTTAGTCATTGTTGCCCTTTTTAAAATAGCAGCACAATAGCAAGGTTAGAAAAATGACCTCTGAGCTAAATTTCATCTCAGGCATCCCAAAATTTATTCCCTGTAATGGAAATGGTCCTCTAAAATTAAGCAAGCTTGTTTTATATATAGGATTTCAGTAGAGGAAGACCTCAGACACAAACTTTATATATTTTCAGTGGGTTTGCAACACTGAAGAAATGTGCATATTTTGTGCTTATTTAAAGACACTCAAATTAATTTGATCTCTACTTACCATTAAGTCTTACAAATGCAGCTCTTTCTGAACCACGACGTTGTTTTTCTTCTAGATCACCCAATGTTGCTGTTAAATCACTAAACAAATGTTGTCTTTGCTCATTTAGTTCAAATGTATGTTCTACAACATAATTATAGATCAGTTTGTAAGAGAATACAAATGCACTTGAATCTCACTCTTCTCTGAAATAACAACACATATACAATATCAAATGGAAATTGTAAATTGTGATATTTATACATTTAACACTGGTTGGAAGCTCAGAATGCTAAACGTATTATATAAATTAGTTCATTAATCCATATATGAACCCTATAGGGCAGTGATGGCAAACCTTTTAAAGACCAAGTCCTCACACTGCAATCCAAAACCCATTTATTTATTGCAAAGTGCCAACAATGCAATAAAACCTGTAAACTGAAGTTTTAGTTTAGAAAAAACAACTCACAGCCAGTACAAGCAAATATATATCTATATGCTTGACAGCGCACTGACCAGCCATGCAACAACTCGAATGAGTTGCGGCTAATAAGTCGTGGCTCGAGACATCATTGCCTGGCGCCCCTACTCCTTTCCAACCATGCGCATGGCCCCTATGTGCACTGGTATCTGATGCTCGACTGCTGGGGAGAAGCTGGGGTGACTTGGTTCATGTGCTGATAAAGAGGGCACTGCATGCCCGCTGTGGCAATCATGCCATTGGTCGATCACAACAACCCTAACCCTACCCTGGAGAACACCCCTAACACTAATAAAGGGCTACCCTAGTGCACACCCCTGACCCTAATATAGAGCTGAAACTGATTTTGAAAAAGCCTTCCTTGAGTAGCTTTCTCTGCAGAGCTCATTATTTCTGCCCATTTCAAACACATTCCAACCATCAAACTCATGCCAGGACACGTCATTTTTCTAACCCTAACCCGACCCCGGTGCACACCCATAACCCTATTGTAGGGCTAAAGTTCAATTGAAACTAATGCAATTTTGGAAAAGCCATCTTTGAGTAGCTTTTTCTGCACAGTTCATCATTTCTGCCCATTCCAAACACATCCCAACCATCAAACTCATGCCAGGATACTTCATTTTTCTAACCCTAACCCGACCCCGGTGCACACCCCTAACCCTAATACAGGGCTAAAGTTCAATTGAAACTAAAGTGATTTTGAAAAAGCCTTCCTTGAGGAACTTTTTCTGCACAGCTTATAATTTCTGCTCATTCTAAACACATTCCAACCATCAAACTCATGCCAGGACACCTTGTTTTTCTAACCCTAAACCCTACCCCAGTGCACACCCCTAACCCTAATACAGGGCTAAAGTTCCATTTAAAAGAGGGTAATTTTGAAAAAGCCTTCCTTGAGCAGCTTTTTCTGCACAACTCAACATTTCTGTCCATTCCAAAAACATTCCAACAATCAAAATCATGCAGGACACCTCATTTTCCTAACCCTAACCCAGTGATGGCAATCCTTTTAGAGACCGAGTGTGCAAACTGCAACCCAAAACCCCCTTATTCATCACAAAGTGCCAACACCACAATAAAACCTGAAAAGTGAGGTTTTAATTTAGGAAAAATAACTTACAGCCAGTCCAAGCAAATATATATATATATATATATATATATATATATATATATATATATATTTTCTTGGCAGCGCACTGCCTGGCCTTGTGAAAGCTCAGATGAGTCACAGCTACTCCTTTCTGTGCATGCACATGGCCCCTCTGGGCGCTGTTATCCGAAGCTTGGCTGCTGGGGTGATGCTAGTTTGACTTGTGTGCCAACAGAGACAGCTCTGCCTGCTCACTGTGGCACGCAAGCCATAGGTTTGCCACCACTGCTATTGGGTCATTCAGTCTCGCTGCACACCACAAGTGGGCAACTTGTGCCTCCCTAGATGTTCTGGCTTAGAACTCCCATTATCCCTAGCCATCATGGGAGTTTTAGGAGTTTAGAGTGATTGGAGTTTCAGGTCAATGATAGCTCACAGACCAGAAGTTTCCTATTCCTGGGTTATCATTATATCCCTATTGCAGTTGGCAAGGGAAGGTGCTGTTGCTAACAAAAGCTTTCTACCTTATGGTACTTGCTATTCTGATTATCTAATTTTCAGTTAAATGCCTTATGGGCTAGAGTGAAAATTGTGATCTTATGTGAACACAAAAGTAGTATGAGACTTGGTCAGTAAGGAAATTACATAAGATTAATTATTCCTGTGATAGTTAACCTGTGCATGCCATTTCAGAAAACAAGTGTCTCAAGAAGCATATGTCCTGATTCAAGTGGAAGTCGGAAACAACCATCAGAAAGAAAGTGATATGTGGATGTGACACCATTTTGTCCCAATAAAAAATGAGGTATGGCGTGTCCACCCAAAGACACAGAACTCACTAGATCTGCATGCGGCACTGTCCTTTGTAATATTTGGAGGTATGGGTGTCAGATGCAGCCTCAGTCTCATTTGAGAAGACCTGTGAAAGCTACAGATACTTGTTCTGGCATCTAAGAAGGAAGGAAGGAAACTGAGATCCCCAGGAAGGTACAAGCCTGCCTAAGTCTTTGCCAGGACCCACGTAGGAAGAAGAAACTGGTAGAAGGAAAGGATCTCTCATTAAATTCAATCTCACTTGCACTCTGCTGTGGAGGCTCTCATGCACCATATTGCTGTTCATTACAAATAAATGTATCACTGGAGTGCCCCAGAGAGTAAAATGGCTGTAGAAAATTTCGAGACTGAGCTGTGACTTTTGAGATATTGTTGGTACCCTGCTCAATGGATCTAGTAGTACACTTTCTCTGTCAGTACTGTGGAGAGCCAAAAGAATGATCCCTCAAAGGACAGATCAGTCAAACAGCATGAGGGTTAGGTCTGTCAGCTGAATGGAAATTGCTGGAGCCAGACTTTCCCTTGTACAGTCAATGAATAGTCAATTATTCAAATATGTGTATCCTTGAACACCTTGAGTTTGAAGATGCACACAAATGATGGTTATGCATTTTGTGACTAAAAGATTGGTGGAGAGGCCAATGGGAGGACCAGAAATTGGTAAGCTTCTGATCCTAGGCAAAAGCAGAGGAAGCACGGTCTGATGATTCCTAAATGAAAATGAGTGTACTCTCTCTGCACACCATGTTTCAAAGTGCAAATGTAGCTTTTTATTGCTGCTGAACCGTGAATGAAATTTAGCAGCATTTTGGTAGCAGATTGCAGATATGATAACTGTCTATGTAGACTTAATTTAATTTATACTTGCCTACCTTTATCATGCATATATTTTTCTGGTAAGCCAACTTCCAGAGTTTTTGTTCTTTGTAGTTCCTGCATATTTGCCTCTAGATTTGCCTCTAATAGTTCTCGTTGTTGGAGTAGCTCCTTTACTTTGTTCTCTGCAGAAAGAGAAACATCATATGCATGTAAAAATGATAAACAGTTTACTAAGTAGATACTATAATATTGAATATACATGAAAGAAAATCATTCAAAGCAGACACTGTTTTAATGGATAACCCTTTCAAAAATACCTATAAAGCAAAGCTTAGAAGAGATTATCACTGCAAGTCCACCAAAGCAAAGGATTACTTGTACAGTCTGAATGATGGAGAATATTTACTTATTTAACTTCTATACTGCCCAATAGCCAAAGCTTTCTGGGTGGTTTGCAATGCATAAAATACAATATAAAATACAAACAGCAATAAAAACATCATAATGAGGTAACCATACAAAATTTTAACCCAGATTTAAAAGAAATCTTGAAAACCTACATTAACTAAATTCTTTATCAAATTTGTTTAAAACAATTATCAAATACTATCCATCAACACTCATCTCTTTCTCAGATTGAGAAAGTAAGAATTGTTCATTTGTTTTTTTTCCTCCCTTAACTGACACACGAAAATACTTTTTGTTTTCAGCATCCATGATCAGTAATAGAAAATGAACCTGTTTTGCTCTTTGTGGAAAAGCAACTCTCCATGGACACAGAAAAGAACCCTTCCATCCAGCGGGACCCTTCACACTTTTGGCTCAGAAACGCAACCCCCACCCCTTTCTCCTATCTGTCTCCCTTCTATTCCATATAAGGTGCTCAACAGAGCTCCCCAGAAGTCAGCAGATATGGAAAGGTAAACCTTTGTATTCTCTTCCATGTTCCTTCAAAGTAGCCCATTCTTCCATTTTTCCTTATATTACAGCCCTTTCTAAACTCCCAAACCCTTTGAATTCAGAGTTCACACATGATTTTCTATACACCCTACTGAATCTAGCTTCAATGTTGACTTTAATGCATTAAGTATATGTGATATTGCCTGGATTAACATCACAAGGTTTTGCACACTAAACAGAGTAAAAGAAAAAAAATTGTGCCATAGACAAACTGAGATTTACTTCTCTGTTTGAGCTGTGTCGTCTCCATTCCTTTTTCTCTTCTTTCTTTACCTATGCTTTCCAACCTATTTATAAATCTGCAATTTGGAGTAAATAGTGAAGTGGCCCAGTTTGCTGATGACATTAAACTTTTTAGGGTAGTTAAAGCCAAAAGGGATTGTGAGGACCTTTAAAGGGAACTCTCCAAGCTTGGAGAATGAGCATCAAAATAAGTTCAATATAAGCAATTGTAGAGTGATGCATGCTGGGGCAAAAAAATCCCAACTTCAGGTATACACTAATGGGATCTGAACTTGCAGTAACTGAGCAAGAAAAAGATCTTGGAATAGTGGTAGACAGCTCAATGAAAATGCCATCCAAATGCTCAGCTGCTGTGAAGAAGGCAAACTCCATGATAGGCACCATTAGAAATGGAATAGAAAACAAAACTGCCAAAATCTTACTTCCCTTATACAAATCCTTGGTGTGACCACACTTGCAATATTGTGTCCAGTTCTGGTTGCCTTGCCTTTAAAAGTACATTGTTGAGTTGGAAAAAGTGCAGAGAAAGGCAACAAAGGTGATTAGGGGTTGGAGCAGTTTCTCTATAAGGAGTGGCTATAACAACTGGGACTGTTCAGTTTAGAAAAAAGGTGAGTAAGGTGACACATGATAGAGGTGTTTAAAATAATGTATGTTATGGAAAAAGTAGAAAGGGAGTCATTTTCCTCCTTCTCCCATAACACTCAATCCCAGGATCATCCCATGAAGCTGACTGGTGGTAGGTTTAGGGCAGAGATAAGGACATATTTCATCGCACAGCATATAGTTAAATTGTGGAATTTACTGCCACAGGAGGTGGTGATGGACATCAACCTGGACAGCTTTAGAAGGGATTGGACAGATTCATGAGGAAGGAGACTTCAGTGGCTACTATTTTTGCATTTGTAACAACATACCTCTTTTTACCATGAAGTATCCCAGTTGACACTTTTCCCTTTTACTTTCCTTCCCATTTTCCTCTAATGTCTTGCCTTTGCTTAGCTTGTAAGATTGAATGGTAAGTCTGTTCTACTTTTCCCATGGCACCTAGTAGTTCTAGTAACAATAACAACAGTTGCCCACTATGAGAATTGTCATTTGGGAAACCGACAGAAACAGATAATATCAAGGCTCTTAGAAATTTATTCTAAGCTAAAAGAGCCATAGAAAATAGTACTGGAGCCAAGCAAAAGCAGGTTGGGGCCAAGTGAATCAGTGCTACGTGTGCACAAAATATAAATACCTGACAGCACTTACCACTCATTTCTGATGGCTGGGTAACTGCAAGAGCCTGGGCTTGTTCCAAATCTTTCATATTCGATTCCAGGTTTGCTAGCAATAGGGTTCTTTTTTCTGACAGCTTGTTAATTTCTCTGTCTAAAATAACACATCAATGTGAAGGTGCCTTATACCAAGCCACACTTTTGACCTATCCAGCTGACTAGTGTATGTTGGTTGGCAGTTACAACTGAGTGACAGTGGCTTTCCAGGATTTCAAATGGGGTCTTTCTGTGCCCTACCAGGAGATGCCAGTAATTGAATCTGGGATCTTCTGTGTACAAAATATGATTACAATAGTAAGTCGTAACTGCTTGCCATACAGCAATGATCATAATAACAATAAATGTTCCCTACTGCTGAGCTACAGCTCCTCTGCTAGGTTTTAAGTCAGGAAATGCAATTTTTATTCAGTAAATTACAACCACTGTGAAATGTGGTATCAGACTACTCTAAACATTACAAGGCACATTTAGAAAACATTAACACAATGTTTATAATTTCCCCATTAATGGGAAAAGTTGAACTTGAGTTTAGTTACACTTGCCCACTGTCTCAATACTAATATATATAATACAAATGTGTGCACACTTTTAATGTGTATGGTTTTGTTTTGTTTTTGCCATTTAAACAGCAGCACCAGAGGTGAGAGTCAAGACTGTGGCATGTAGGCAGGGAGGTTAAGCCAGCAGTCTCAATGAAAATTGCTCCTCAGGTAGCTTCCTTCTTGAGACACCTATAAACTGGAGGGGGTGGTTTCATGAGAGTCACAGTATGAAGGGAAAAGACTGAACCCCTTCTCCGAGTGCCACAATCTGGGTTCTACCCTATTTATATTTACTTAAGTCAGACCCTTTAAATACATTCACACACTTAATACATGATCTAGTTTGGTCTTCAGAAGAGGCAAAACAGAGCATACTTTCATAACCTTCAGGCTAAACTACACAAAATAGTTCCCCCAGATAGTTCTGTTCATACAGTAAGAAGTTTTTATGGAAGACATTAAAATACAGAATATAATGCCACAGGATTGGGCCTTTATTATGCCACTTGGGCAGGTTTGGGATATATGAAAGAATATCACTTAATACATGTAATTACATACGGCATACGAACAATTCTTCACACTGTGGCTATTGTTAAACTAGGTGATTTGAAACAATCCCTAGATGATACATAACCCTGATGAGTTAATCTGAAAACATCAAATACTAAAGTGAACATAATTGGGTGCAGGATTATATCACGATTTTGCTTAATGTTTTGCTAATGTGGAATAGGCCTTTTATTTATTTATTTAATTTGTTTAAATGCCATCCATTAGCATCATGCTTTCAGGGCAGCCAATGGAATAAAATCAATAAAATCATTAAAATACAATTTTCAGATCTTACTTTTTAGGAAGGTTTTATGACCACTGTTTCATAGGAGTAAACTGGGTTTTGTTTTGACAGATGTATTATCTTATTAATTGCTGGATTTACTATTCATTATTTTGCATTTATTTTATATTTTATCATAAGTGAGGCTTTCTTAGCTAGGAGATAGGGAATGTATTTTAAGTAATTAATATTAATATTTAGAATATTTTCAGTTATATTTTTTACTCTAATTAACACATTTTGATACCCACCAATGTCTTGCTGATCAGGTGTAGCTGCCATTGCTTCCTTTAAGTTTGATTTCAGATTTGCAAGCAAGTCTCTTCTTTTCTCTGCCACCTCATTCATTTCCTCCTCTACAAAAACAGGCATCTTTTAAAGTTGTATCTAGCCACAATTATTTATTTATTTGTTTGTTTGTTTGTTTAATTCCAACCCACCTTATAATGAAGGTACTAAACATTTTATGCACACAATTCTGGAGTTAACATTATATCATTGTATTTTTATTTGCACAATCTGTTAGCTTCTCCTAAGCATTTACGTGATGCATTTTTATTCTAGTTTCTACCTGATAGGACAGCTTCAACAGATGGTATTTCCTGCAGAATTTGTAGAGTTGTTGTTAGATTTGCAAACAGTGACCTTTTCTTTTCTTTTCGCTCTTTCTCTATTTTCCCTACATGGAATGAAAAATTCAAGAGTTCATGAAAATCATAAAAAAGGAGGCATGCGATTCATATAATCTAACTGGATATGGATGGATCATTCCATTTTTTGTTCATGTATATTTCACATCGATTCATTCATGAGTCCATTTGGTCCTGTTTCCATGTTAATGTGGAAATGTTTCTAAACTGTACATGAACATTTGTAAACAAATATTCAGAAACATAATTTGGAATGCATTTTCTCACACAACATAAATTTCTAATCATTTTTCCTAAACTATGAATTTGTGCATACCTGCAAAATTCATAAAAATGCAACATCTGAGGATGCATATGTTCTGACTTATAGAGTAGTCCAGGAATTATAGATCAGCATTTTTTTAAAAAAACCATAATGTATAATCATCTTCCTCAAGTAACCTAATTCAAGTCCACCATATGTCTACAAAAATACACTGTGGATAGAAACAGATAGATAGATCTAGTCCCTTGATGGAAAGATCCAAGAGAAAGACAGGTTTCCTTACCTATGTCGTTCTTCAAGTGGTCATCTGTGCATTCACACATATGGGCTCTTCGCACATGCATGGAGCAGTTTTTGGGAAGATTCTAAAGCTGATTAATTAGTATTCAGTGGGAGTCCAGCCCCAGTGCACAGAGACCACAAAGAATAAGCTAGGTAGCACACCCACTGAAAGTGTCTGCGCTAAGATCTCCACAGATCAAACTAGCATAATTGAGAGCTTATACAGGAAAGATCTGGAATGCCACACAAATATTCCATGAAGAATGTAAGAACTGGGAGAGATCCTTTAGATGCAATCAAGTATCTTGCACATTATTAGATACTAGTAAAAAATACTACAGGGCTGAGAAATAAATAATATTCTGCTGCTGTGACAGGATGTATAGATGTGTACACTTTAGCAAGACTTTTGACTATATTATGGTGGATCAGTGCAGTTTAGGAAAAAGCTAAGAGATTACAGCAGAGCTGAAAAGGTGTAGCCTAGATTGCACTCAAGGTAACTGGGAGGGAAATAACCTATACCCTGTGGAAATATGCATAACTTAAACCCTCAATGTCCGGGAAGAGGACTGCTTGCTCTAGAAAAAGGAGGCCAATATTAATAAACTACTGTGACATACTTAAAGAACATGACAGTGAAGAGCCTGCCTTCCCCAGTCAAAGCTTGTTCTGAATAATGGATAAGTGACAAGCAGGCCTAGTGAACAGTTCCTGAAGCTACAAACCATGAACTTATTGCAGACAATGGAAAGAAATGTACAGTGGTACCCAACAAAAATGTTTACACAGATCCTGGCAGAATACTGTATTAATACCAATAAATAAATATACTCACAAAAACAACAGTTGTCCCATACTGCATCAGATGTTTTTGCTCTAATATATTGCTACTATTAGGAAATTAAATTGAATAGTCCAAAAACAGCCAGACATCTGGCTAATTCCCTCTGCATCAGATGGCTAATTCCCTCTGCATGATGGTATTGCTACCCTTGTTAATATCTTCTCACAGCAATGTCCTCTAAATGCCTAACATCTTCTAGCACTATCTCCAGTGTTTATTGTCGGTTGAGTGAGTGATTGGGTACAGTAGGTCAGAAAAGGCAAATACATCCAGGTCCATCTTCCTAACAATTGATTTATATGCAATGTGAGATGGAATTAGTAGAACCACTTTTTAATGGCTCAATGGAAAAATAAAAGAATATTGTGAAAAATAATAAAGAATGAGAATAAATGTGAATTCAACACAATTAAGTATTCAGATAACTGATTATCACTTATTAGGCCTTTGTACTGCTGACTCTGCACTTACCTGTTCGCTGTAGTTCATCTGGAGGTATCAGCTGATTCAGTATCTGAAGTTTTTGCTGGTCGGATAATTCTTCTATCTCATTGGCAAATGCAAATGACAGAATAATTGGGAAATATAAATGACCAAATTAATTATTTTTTGATCATAAGTTAATAATAAATCATTCAGAGAACTTCAGCTAGTCAATCCCTATATTAACTAAATAAATACAATCCAAACTCTTGGGGCAGGGGTTGTTTTTTTAGATTAGGCAGTTCATTCCAAACCCTTCCTGTATTAGCAACTATACTGGCATCCTGTATGAAGCAAATAAGGCCATGACAGGCAGCACTGACCAAAATATTTTGAGCTATCCCTTTGTGGGACTGCCAACCTAGTTGCTCAAGGCAGACCACTTGATACTTTTGCAGACTCCATGACAGATAGTTATACAAGAGTGAAAGTATTCTGAACATGGAGCTGGAGCCACAGGGACAGTACCCCTCTGTTACCATGCTTTGGGACATGTGTCTTCAGACTGGAACACTACTTCTTGTATATAGGGGGGAAATCCCTTCTAGAGCATGAATAAGGTCTTTACTTCAAATGTTGTACAAGGGGGGAACCTTTCCCTAGTACTATATTGACAGGAGGACAGGCTAAGGTTAGCCTGGCAAAGTTGGGCTAACCAAATGGGTAGCAGAGCGCCCTCACAAGGTTCTTAGAGAACAATGAAGACAAGTCATGAACTAATAATCAAAGCAGTGACACATTCTAATCAAACTTTATAGCCAACTCAGGGCAGGCAGAACCAGTGTGACATAATGGTAAGAGTACTGGACTGGTACTGGGTGACTTCGGGCCAATCACAACCTCCCAAACTAACCTACATCACAGGGTTGTTGTTGGGAGATATGTATGCCACCTTGAGTTCAAAAAGGAGGAAAGCTGGGGCAGAAACAATAATCCCAGGGTTCAAGTGCAGATATCAAGGTGCAAGTTACCTGATCCTTTTGTACACTGAGTCCTTGGATATAGTCTAAAAAAGATGTAGATCCCCAGGGAGGGCTCCTGAAATGTCCCACCCCATGGGTCATTCCAAAAATGTACTGCACTCTCATATTCTAAGGAGTTCAGATTAGTACTTACTCAAGCCTTGACCAGGCTCTAGCAAGAGTTTAGCTAAAGTTTCTGCTTCAGGCATTTCTTCCAGGTCTGTCAAATGGTCTGCAAGCTGAAGCATTTTTTCATTGAGCAAGTCCTTAATTTCATCCTCTATAAAGAAAAACAAAGGATTTTCCCCTGTTTTTATTTTTCTTAGAAAGTATTGTGGCCCCATACAGCAGAAAAGGTTCTGGAATACCTGAAATATCTGAAATACCACCTTCTACAGAGTACATATTTTCTTTATATAGCCAATGCAATTAAATATTATGAAAAGAAAAAATCACCAGACACCATGGGACAATTTCAGTATAATGATTTTGATGGTCTCCTGCAGAATGCCTGTAGAAAAATCTCAAAACTCCTGTAGAATCTCAACATAATTATTAAAGATATATATACATAAATTACTTTTTCCCTTCTACGAAGTTAAACTTTTGAAATTTCCACAAACTGTGTTCTCCAGGGTCTCCCAGGTGAAGAAAACCTCTCTAAATGGCAGAATGTCCTACTGCACCAAGAACTATTCATTCTGAAGGTATAAGGGAGTAAAGAATAAAATCGCAACCTTTAAGCACACTTACTGGGAACAGGGGTCTACTTTCTCTACTATTGTGGTCAGCGAGAGGCATTAGCACTGACATAATTTAGGGCCAGCATAGTTTAATTGTTTGGGCTTAAGTGCCATGAACCGGCCCCTTCCCTCCTTTCCTCTGGTGGCAAAACTCAAAAGAATCCTATGGAAATGCAGTTCTTTTATTGAGACTCCAAGGATAACAGAAGAATTGAGCTCCAAATAGTCATCTATTAAAGCTGAAAAGAGAGGCCCCTAATCATGTAAAGAGTTGAAGCTAAACTGGAAACTTTCCTTGAGTCCCTTCCTTTCTGTAAAACTTCTGGCTCAACCCTCATGGTGGTCTCGCTGCTGGAGCACAAGATGGTGTAAACCTCTAGTTAAGCAGTTAACTTCTCCAGATGTCTCTTCTTTGGGTCAAAGACTGGATCTTCTGCCTACTCCTCCTCTCCTTCTGAAAATCCTTCCTCTGCTTCCAGAACAGGCTAATTTTCATGCTCAGCCTGTGAAACCTCACTAAGCACAGTTGAAGGCACTTCAAAGGCTCCTCCCCATCCCCACCATTGCTCTTCCTCTTGTTCAGAATCTGTCGATGACAACAACTTGTTCCGATTCTTATGATAACAATTTACACAATCTATGTTTAACTTGTCCTCCAGATGTTTAAACCTATAACTACCACTAAAATTATGTCAAATATGGTAAGCAGTATCTAACACTATTAATTTTTTTCCAAACATCCCTTAGTATTGGCTAGGCTGGCTGTGTCTGATAAGAGTTGTTAGCCACAAGTTACCCATCCTGCGTTACACTGTTTCCAATAGACCTGCAGGCAATATTTGGGCAGTTCTAAGATTGCTCCATAAATAAATCAAACATTTAAAAATGTATTAGGAATTTTTGTACCAGCCTACTTTTTAACATAACATGTCATTTTCCAAAATCCTTAAAATGTTATTGCATATTCTTTTAATTAAAGTATAAAATAACATAAACCGTAAAAGGAATAATTACCTCCAGGTTCTACTGCATCGATGTGAATTTTTGAAAGTCCTTTCTCCAAAATTAAAGGCTAAGAAAAGTAAAAGAAGATAGTAAATGCAAAAAGTTCTACCATGTGCTCCTTCGATATGTGGACCTAACTATTCTTCACTGAAATCTGTCTGTAACCACCATTTCAACTTTCTTTCTCTTCTACTGCTCTTACATTCTAATTTGTGATCAATATGCCTTCCCCAGTCTGATGCCCTCCAGTTATTTTGGATTATAACTCCCATCAGCCCTCTCCAGCATGGGAAATATCCAGGAATCCTGGGAAGTGTAGTTCAAATAATTTTAAGAGTACAAGGTTGGGGAAGGCTGAAATATACAGGGACACCCCCCCCCCCACAGCTCCATATGTTCTTCTGTGCGGACCAACAGCTCAATTTAGAATCTCTAAGGCTCAAGGACTCATGTTGGGAAGGAATGTGCTTGGACTTAGACCTAATCCATATATGCAGTCCAATCATTTTCACAATAGCAAACACATTTCACCTGGCAGACCCTTTTGTCATGGGACATGCAATGTATTATAGTAGACAGAAACATATTTTGAAAGAAGTTCTTTTCATTGTTGCTCTTTCTCTATCAATTACAAAACAAGATATAAGTACAGAGAGAATAACAGGAGTGTATTACAGAAAAATTCCTGATGTAATTTTCAAATTACATTCCAGATTACCCAAGGAAGACTGACACAATAGAGCAATTTTCATCTGAAGATCTATATAACTGAACTACTCCAGTCAATAATTGTTCTCTATATCAAAGTTTATGGGGCAAATTAAGAAGATAGGGCCATTTCATCGGTTGTAACACCTTGTGGGCATTTAATGATGGGAGAGAGACCAGTGTTCTAGCCAGAGTTCTATGGTATGTTATGTCTAGTGCTCTCATCTGTCTACAAGGCATAAAGCTAATTTTGTCCACAGAGATGTATAAAGTAACAGAAATGT